TCAATTAATTTTCGAAACATTCAGAACACGCACTGTGACTCTACGAGAAAAACTGCAAATACACTGCGTTTCGCAGGACCAAAACTGCGTCACGTCACGCTGCGAAGTAATACGCGCATTACCTATTCTTACTTGGGTTCACAAAAACTCGCCGTGAGTCACGCTCTCTCACTTGGTTTGTGTCAATCGTTCGTCGGCTGTCATTATCATTCGCTGTCTTTCTCCGCCTCTCTACGTTATATCTTTCTTCTCTCTCGTCTCTCGTGTGCCGAAATTTGCCAAAACGTGTTATTCCATTCTCGTCCAAATCAGACCGCCGCGTAAGAAGTTTCACTTCAGAAAAATCATGTGTAGTATCGTACACGTGTTAAGAAGTGAAACTTTTTAAAAACTATTTCTTTAACTCAAGAGCACCAGGATTCAGAGTTATGCTGAAATCTGAATAGCGAGCGAAGAATGCGCAGAACGCAGAAGGCAACATAATATAAGAAGTTTGGATTACCTAATAATATATGCGTTTTTATTCTCATCGGTGAATTCACCGATGAGTTAGCTATCTTTGTTTAGTGAATGGAAAATGACAATGACCGACATAGAATGGTGGATCCATCGGTGAAATTTGATGAGAATAAAAACGCAGGGATACTATATAGCGCTAGTGGTGCTAATGCTACTACTGCCACAAGTGTCACGTGCCACTGCCACAGGCTAGTGGCGTTAGTGCAGTGCAAAGTGCAACGCAAGAAATTCTCTGCGACCATTGGGATTTCGTCATTCTGTTGTCCGGTGATTTTGCAATTCATTACGACAGGTGACACGATCCTTATGTTAATTTTAATTAGTCCTCGCGAATAAGGTGCGCAAATTTTTGTCTACGAATTTTTCCCAACTCTAAATTTTTTATCCTAGTTTTCCCAACTTTCGATATATTTTAGAAACTTTGGGGGGGGCGCCACCCCCCCCAGCCCCCCCCCATGGCTCCGTCCCTGAATAGCTGTATTTCTTTCGAGAGCTTGAAACATTAGCGCAAGCTGTGGCCCCTCCTTGTGTGGAAGGAATACAGCTATTGGTAACAGCATGTTTTATTTCAAACTTCCTACGACAGTACAATTGGCTCTGAAAACAGTACAATTTGCTCTGAAAACAGTACAATCGCATGACCCGTTTCAGCAAGGATAAAACACTACTACAGGATACAGGATTGCTCATCGGCCTTGATTTGTCGCATCAGCATCCTATGGTGTAGCACCTTTGCAACGTCATCAACGGTGCCAACGACTATTTGCGCCCGCGGTCGTAGTTAAGAATTCAAAGGACCATGCATACTTTAGATGGGATTCTAAAAAATCCACGATTTCCATGAAATTTTGGTATGTTGTAGATCTCGATCTACTGATCAAAAGTTCTCACGGGCCCAAGATGATCCTATGTCTGGTTTCCGAAATACAGTGGCGGGTATGGGGCTACCCAAAAATCCGAATAAATAGAATTTTTTTCACAAAAGGTAAACTATAATATCTTTATAGATAACGTCCTTAGTGTTTGAGATAGAGTAGAGATAATGGGTTCAGGACTTTGGAAATAAAACTCCTTTTTTTCAAAAAATTATGCCGACGTTTCGACCATATATTTGGTCTTCTTCACAGGCTATTTTTTACCAGCAAGGGCGTTTGACGTCAAATACCAATGTAGGAAACATTCCAAAACACAAAGGGACACACATTAGTCTAAATTATTTTTTAATTTTTGCTCTGTATATCGATAAACACGTATAGGTTACAGTAAGTTGGCAACAGCCGCGACTGTATATGGTCGAAACGTCGGCATAATTTTTTGAAAAAAGGGAGTTTTATTTCCAAAGTCCTGAACCCATTATCTCTACTCTATCGTAAACTATAATACAAAAAGTGATACTAAGTGAATTGGATTAGGATGGAAATATCTATATTTACATAAAAACCCTTTTTTTCATGGATCGCAATAATTAGTTTTACCCCTTTAAACCACCTTGAATGTAATTTGCAAATTAAGTGAGGTTCCCTGAAGGGTGTATATTGGAACTCTCTATAACTTCCAGTACCATTTGTACCCGAGACTAGGGTGGAAATGTCCATATTTTCACAAAAACCTCTTTTTTCGATGAATCGCAATCATTAGTTTTACCTTCTTATACCACCCTGAAAGTTATTTTCAAGTCGTTTTAGGCACCCTAAACGGCGTATATTGGTACTGCCTACAACTTCCACTAGAGATTTGTGCCCGAGACTAGGGTTGAAATGTTCATATTTTCATAAAAACCCTTTTTTTCATGGATAGCAATAACTAGTTTTACCCATTTAAACCACCTCGAAAGTTATTTGCAAGTCAAGTGAGGTTCCCTAAACGGTGTATATTGGAACTGTCTATAACTGCCAGTACCATTCGTACCCGAGACTAGGGTGGAAACGTCCATATTTTCACAAAAACCCTTTTTTCGGTGAATCGCAATTATTAGCTTTAACCCCTTGAACCACCCTCAAAGTAATTTGCAAGTCCAATAAGGTTCCCTAAACGGTGTATATTGGTATTGCCTATAACTTCCAGTACCATTTGTGCCCGAGACTTGGGTGGAAATATTCATATCATATTTTCATATCATATTATTTTATTTTAGTTTAACTTGAACGTCCCATTTTTGTATAAAAAGTATGAATTAAACAGAAGGATTATATTTTTTGAGTACCCCTGTAGATAAAAATTGTCTCCTGATATCTACCATGGCCAATAAAAAGAGGATTCAATTAATTTTAACACTTTTTGTATTAAAGTTTACCTTTTGTGAAAAAAATTCTATTTACTCGAATTTTTGGGTAGCCCCATGCCCGCCACTGTATTTCGGAAACCAGTCATAGGATCATCTTGGGCCCATGAGAACTTTTGATCAGAAGATCAAGATCTACAACATACCAAAATTTCATCAAAATCGTGGATTTTTTGAATTCCATTTAAAGTGTGCATCATCCTTTATGATTGATGACTTAATATGTAGAGATGAAGATGAAGGAAAGATTTTAACGAAAGGTTTGTTTTTGAATGCTAGTTAATGTACTGAAACCAAGTTCATAAAGCCAGAGTCAACGGAATCATAGCCTGTGGTGCAAACACCCTACGTCAAAGTGACATTAAAGCGAAGAACGATACGCTGACTACGTCATCAGTGGTACTTTTGCGTAGTGGGGAGCTTGAGATTTGAACTACACAGAACTTATGGGCAATCCTGTAGTGTTTATTATCCTTGCGGTTTCAGTTCATTTGAAATTTCTCCAGGAATAACACTGCATATACCATATACCTATCATTTATGAAGGATTTATTCCGTTTCCATCCTTGGTTAAGGTTATACATTCAGTAGATGTCAGTTTATGTTCAGTAGATGTTCAATAAAATTCATGTAACAGGAATAAATACAAAAATATGGTGTTTTATTTTTCATAACCTTGAGTAAGTAGTTAATGAATTCGTCAATCTTGAAGAGAATTTCATTCATCTGTCAAAACTGGTATTCCAACCATAAACTGGCATGTTTTAATTCTTGATTGCAACCAATCAGATTGAGATTACGTGATAATTTGCACTAGTGCAGGATTATCGGATATTTGCACCCTAACGGGTGGCATTTGAAATTTTTTGTGACCAGTGACATTTTTATACTTACAGTGTGTCCCGCTTAAGGACTGACCACCCTTCTAAAATTTTTATTTTTCAACCGATTCAATTCATTTTTTTTTGTCTTGTAGCTACTCGAATTTGGCACTTATTAGGCTCATAATTTTATTTCTACGGCTGCACTGGTTTACAGGGTGTCCACATTTATAGACTCAAATTTCAATATGTACCAATAGGGATTTTTACAGAAAAAATCTCATAGCAGATTCTTGTTTAGAATGGTCTAAAACCCTCTCTCACCCTAGACATTAGATTTTTGAAGTGAATGTGGCATAAACAAAAAAACACACTTTTAAAAGTTGAAAACAAATTTACACTTATATGGTACCGAAAATTTCGATTTGTTTTGATTGTTTATAATATTTTTCAATTATTATTCTATTAGCAAGTTGACCCTAATTTTAGTATTTACCCCAATTATCAGGCAAAACAAACCTTCTTTGTTCGTTATTACTCGACACAAAAACTTGCAGTTTTCTCATGCCAAGAATAAAATAAAATCGCATTGAAATGCAAGTCAAGAAATCCCCCAAGAAGTAAAGCAGTATTTCATGTAGACCAAAATCCGATTAAGGGGGCACTCGGATTTAAAGTGAAGTTGCGTGTAAATGGAAATTGGCCCATACTTTACCTACGATAATGTTTTAATATGCATTTCTTTCCTTTATATAGGAAATAAGAACGTTTCACATTTTTTTTTTAAAATACACATAAAATGAATAATCGAAAAGATACAAAATCCAATAAAAAATAGGTACTACGATTAAATTAATTACTAATTTATCAGCGAAAACTGGTACCGAATTGGGTACTGAATCTCAGTCGGTGGTGAAATAATGAGGTCGAGAACAAGTTGCCATCAATGTCTTGGTGTTACCAGACCTTAATCAACGGTTTTCTTTTTTGAGTGTGACTTATGGTTTTTAAGCAAGTGTAAAAAATGTCACCAGCAACTTTTGCAAATGTTATCTACGTCAATATGCCTAGTAAAACTGAAGTTGCTATATCAGAAAAGTAAGTGAATCTGATCTATTTATAACCCATATCACCATAGCCTTAACTCTTCTTTTCTTGTGTCAAGTTCTCCTAACCCCATCTCTATTAGGAATGCACTGGCTTTATCAATTTTTTTCTATAATTACAACGTTAACAAACTAAACTCATTTATTATCAAACAATAGACAACAAAAAATTGTGAATCTTTATCAACCGAAAAGGTATAATTTATGTTCAAATACAAAAACCATAGACCTTGGACGTTAAAATATAATATTATGGTTTAGTGCACAGGATAAGTTTGTTGGAAAAACATTTGTTGGTAAAAATGGGTACGGTTTTGATCAATTTAAGTTATACTAGTGTGGATGACAAGTAAGATGTTAAAATTCATTTACAAAGTATTTAAAAAAAAACATTATTCTATAAATAATGCAGACTAATAGATGGACCAGTTGACATTGGGACACAATAATTAATAGATGTTCTTTTTTGATTTTTATTTTTAAAATCATGTGTAGGAAGTAAGTGTTTATACATATTTTTTTTGCGCCTAAAATAAACTAAATTGCCAATCTATAATTTATCAATGTTATTAAGTATAATATTTGAACCTTTAAATGGAAGTCTAATTATATTGTCGATAACACAATTTACAATTGACAAAGACGGGTAAATATAGTAAATTTGTTTTAATAATTCCTTTGATAGATTTGAATTTGATCTTTGACATGGTATTTTGTAAAAAATTACTTCTTTGATCTGTGACATCGTATTTTGTAAGCAACTTATAAAAAATTTCTTATTTGAAATTGCAAAATTTATTGACGTTCTGTATATAGTAAATAAACTAATAAATACATATTTTGACAGGTTCGATAACATATTAAATTTGAAATAATCTTTATTTTGTTTTGTAATATGTATTTTCAATTTAGTTTTCATTTTAGTAGCTATTACTGATACAAAACGTTTCTCCAATTAAGCTAGGATGAGTAAGCTATTTTTTTAACAGCTTCTTTTTAAACTTCTCCCAACTCTTGGTAGTTGAGATTCTCTCAAATTTGCTTCTCAGCAGAGTACAACTACTGAGTTAGTTTGGGTTAAAGGCAGAATACCCAACATACATTTCATTTTACTAGAATTGAGATTAATTAAATTTCAATCTGATCTTCTGCAAGCTCAAATTCCTAATAATTCCTGATGTTATGTTTATCTATAAAGGACCCCGCACACTTATGGAATTTCTGACCGCGGTCAAATTTAACCAAATCTTCTGATCAATAACTACCATGGACACAACTCAATCCTATGACTAGTTTTTGAGATACAGGGTGTTCAATGTGTGAATGTCCGATATGCATTATGACATCCTACTCAATCAACCAAATAAAATCATATTCGTGTGAGAATTCGGTCAAGGCACAGAAATGAAGTAAAATACTAATATGTAGTTATTTGTGCTCGAACCTTCTTACTTAATCACTGTTTATAATAAAGACAAAAACATAGCTTAAACAAAAAATTTAATAATTTTGTGGTAGGAATTATTTAAATAAATAAATTCCCATATAAGATTATCGTATCCTTGTATCTATCCTGATTGAGATAAAGAGACAAAAACTATTAAAAAGTATTGTGATACTTGTTTGTAGACATTATTGGGAAATGGACTAAGAAATAAAAGAACTTGTTAATTAATTATCGATATTCAATATATTTATTATATCGAACACAGCGGAAAGCAGAGCGTGTGAACTCATAGAAATAACTATACGAACTGACTCAACATCAAGACAAAGAATTAAAAACCCTTTCTCAAGTAAACGATTCCTCATCTGTTTATCTTACATATAAAAACTATTATAAACACATTCAGTCATCCATAGCTGCGATATAAATTAACAAAATATAGGCTAATAATCAAAGTTTAATTTATTAATTTTTGTTTCACTGATATGAATATCAGTTTATCCAACACGCCACCTCAAAAATTTGATCAATTATACTAAAAGTGTAATACAACTTAAACCTAGTATAACATGAATAGGCCTGCTTTCCTTATGTGTGTCTTTTCTGGGGAAAATTACAATAACGGTCCAGAATTTGCTGCTCGGGATTAGGGAAAACCCAGAAAAACCTAATAAAACCATTTAACTTATTTACTAAGCCTAATTCCATTTTAATTTCTCAAATTTCACTCACATCAATGGTTTGGTAAACATGTCTGCTAGTGGTTTCTCTGTGGACAAATTAATATTTTATATGAATTACGATCAATTCAATATGATTTGATCTTTTGTGATTTGTTGGATTATTTGTAATACTTATTGAGGTCCATTGTTGTCCTCCTAGGTCATAATTGACTCTGATATTAATCTTTATGCATATTTTCTGCTAATGATTTTAACCAAAGAGCCTCTTCAAAAAGAAAAACCATATATTCGGCTTCAGTAGACGATGCCGTTACTGACAACTGCTTTTTTGTATTCCAACATATCACACAAATTTCAAACAGTTTAAATAAATATCCTGTTGTGCTTTTTATATTGTTTATATTATCAACTCCACCTTCCTAGTCAGGATTAATAGAATCTCTTAATAAATTGATATATTCACAAGTAAAATATTGTGTCAACTTCACATTGATTTTACCCTTAAGATATCTAAGGACCCTTTTCAAATATTGCTAAAGCTCTTTATTATTTTTGCTTTAATACCTGCTCAAAATATTAACAGCGGTACTCAAATCAGGCTTGACATAACATAATATACATTAAACAGACGATTAGATTACGGCAAGGGCTATCATGTTTTTCTTCTGAATTCAAACCAATCAAATTCAGTTTACTAGGAAGTGGAGTGCTGACATAGCTGATGGCACAACAGTCATTCATATTAAATTTATGTAAAATGGTTTTTATGTACATGTGAAATGTACTTATATGAAAATTGATTAAGGGTAATTTTATTTTTGATTACCTTTTAATTTTATTATTCAAAAATAGTTTACTGTCTTTCAAATAAAACATAGAACAGTTATTTGCCAAATACCTTTTGGAACTATTCAATGTATTATTATCTGCAGTGGCAAATACCATCTACAGAACTACATAAATAATTTTACATATTGCACCTTTGTCTGAGATATAAATACAGTGGTTTACTGATGAATTTTCAAACCCATTTTCTTTATGAACTTTTACTATTATTTCAAACCAACATCTAGTGGTTTGTTTTAGTCCATAGATACAAAGCCTCACAAACTTGGTTAGGTTTACTTGTAACACCTTAAGCCAGCCACCCTTCAGCCTTCAGGAACCTTAATAAAAATGGCTTCCTTCATTGTCCCATTTGGGAAAGCTGCTTTTTTTTACATCCATATAATGTAGGTACTAAAAGGGTAAACTGATTAAAAAGGTAATTATAAACTTACGATTCTCGCCACCTGAGCAAAGGTTTCATTATAATCTACCAAGTATTGTTGACTAAAAGCACAAGCAACTAAGCGAGCTTTGTATCTAGATGGTTTTTCAGTTTCATCATTTTCAATGGAAAATATCCATTAACAATCCACTATATTTTAATATTCGGGTCTTGATAATAACGACCACGTTTTATTTACCAATAATAAGTGAACATCATTTGGCAGATCTGTTTTAATCACAGATTTACTATACTCATTATTTAGTTCGATGAGTTTGTTAGGGCTAACCAGTTACCAACTTTCCTGGATTGTTGCTCATCTGATTTAGCTATATCAGATTTATTAGGATTTATCAACCACCGATCTCGACTGCAAACTGTCACTGTCAGGGGAAAGGTTTTATCACCAAAGTACTACATTAATTTTTAGCACTTTTTCAAGTTTATTATTAACTACTGATCTTGACAAACAGTCAGAGGAAACAGCTTTATCATCAAAGTGTTTTACATTCACTTTTTCATACTCACTATTACCTACTGATATTGACTCGCTTGAAACCTGATTGAAAATCACTCAATAGTTTATTTCGATCTATATACTCAACAAGTTTTGATTCAACAACTTTGGGAATCGGGATTATAGTGGAACCTGAATGAATATCATTTGGCAGATCTGTTTTAACCACAGATTTACTATACTCATTTATTATATAGTTTGTTACAGTTAACAGTTACCTTCTTTCTTGGACTGTTGCTCATCTGATTCTACTTTATCAGATTTATTAACCAGCGATCTTAGCAAACTGTCAGAGGAATCAGTTTCATTACCAAAGTGTTATGCATTCACTTTTTCAAGTTTATTATCACCTACTGATCTTGACAAACAGTCAGAGGAAACTGCTTTATCATCAAAGTGTTTCAAATTCACTTTTTCAAACTTATTATTAACTAACCACTGATATTGACAAACAGTCAGAGAAATTAGCTTTATGACCATAGAAGTTCTTCATTCACTCTTCAAGCTAATTAGTGACTACTGATCTTGACATACAGTCAGAGGAATCAGCTTTTACCATCAAAGTGTTATACATTCACTTTATCAAGCTTAGTATTAACTGCTGATCTTGAAAAACAGTCAGAGGAATCAGCTTTATGAACATAACATAATTTTTACAGCTGATATTCAAGCTCGCATCAAAAATAGTTTTTATCATCTATATGCCGATGATCTACAGGTTTATCTTCCTGAAACCTTGGACAGAATTAATAGTGACTTGGATGCAATTTCAAGTTGGGCACAGTGTAATTCTCTTTTTGTAAATCCTGTCAAGACAAAAGCCATTCTTTTTTCCAAATTAAAAATTGACAAGGATCATTTAAATATTAGAGTTGATAATGTGATCATTAACTGGAGTGATGAAGTGAGGAATCTTGGTTTATATATGAATGAATGTATGAGTTTCGATAATCATGTAAATAACATCTGTCGACGAGCATTTTATAGGCTTAAAATGATGTATGAATATAGGAATCTTTTGCCCACACAAACAAAAAAGATTCTCACTGACTCTATGGTTCTGTCAATACCAAATTATCTCAATTGTGTATATGGACCTTATTTAACAGCATATAATAGATACAGAATACAAAAAATACAGAACTGTTGTGTCAGATATGTTAAATGCCTGCCTCGCAGGGAGCATGTTAGCCAGCATATTGTTGAAGTATATAAAACAAAAATGGATCAGAGATGTCTTATGCACATGTGTAACTTAGTGCATAAGATTTTAGGTACTGGAATACCGCAGCATATTTATTTAATATGATTGAGCATCGTAGTGATATTCATGAGCTAAATACACGAAATCGAAATCTCATAAATATTCCAAAGCATAATACAGAGTTTTTCAAAGCAGCTTTTCCATACTGGGCCGCAAAAGTGTATAACATGCTACCTGTTGAGATTTCCCAAGTTCAAAGCAATTTGAGCTTTGGGATAAAACTCAAAGAATATGTCTGTAATAATAATTTGTCGCTATAGAATAGCTTTACTGCTATGGCTGTGTGTAGGTTCTAGGTTGTAAGGTTCTACACCATTTCAACCACTATCTATACCTTTTAAGTAATATTTGCGTTGATCATCAAAAATACCTCCACAAAATTAATTTCTATCTGCTATTTATTAAGGATTTTGTTTCAGAAATCCGACATGGTGGAAAAGGAGGACGAGCATGGAAAGATGTTTGACGTTAACGACGGCCGTCGTGTTTATTATAGGAATCTCATTAATTATAGCTTTAGCCACAGTTTTATATAATAGAAATAAAGCGGTAACAAGTAAGTAATAATTTCCAATATCGATGTATATTTATATTTAACATTGAATAGGTCAATTAAAAAAGACACCGAATCATCGAATAATTACATAAAACTAAATCCTTACTTGAAGTACAAGTATGAAGTGAATATATTTAATAGATTTACTTAAAGTACAGATACAAGTTTATTAAAATTATACTTTGATTACCAAGTAAACTTGAAACTTACTTGAATTTCATCAAGTAATTTACTTCAAGTAAAATATTTGAAGTACTTTCATGTATTTGAAGTAGAATTTCAAGTAATTTACTTCAAATATTGACAGCTCTGACTCACAGAGTCTTCCTATCAATTTGCGATCTATTTAACTCATCCGCCTTTAATTCTCAACTAACTGATACACTGGTGTTTAATCACTGACTTAAGAGGTCGTCTCCGTTTTATAGCGAGTCGTTGCTTCTAGAACTGTCTAGATAATTTGCTTCCGTTTCGAATTCAACTTCCTCAAAAACTAATAAAATTTTCGAAGGCATGATTGACTGGCTCGAAAGAATGAAACATCACAGTAACCTGACCTATCAAAAACTATTTCAAACTATGTCATATCCTGACAAAAATGAATAATGAACAATTCGACTCCTAACACGAACCTAATAGTAAAAATAATTAATTCCCAAACAACAAATTTACATCACACATAAATTACTTCATAAGTAACTTACCTATTTTACAAACTAACTATGTAATAATATGTCCTGACATCGAAGAGAGAAAATAATGAAATCAGTGCAATAACCTCACGATAGACACTTGTTAGGCAATCTAGAGACAGTTATTATAATTATTCCAGATACACAATTATTCACCGCCGAAGCTTTGCAAGGACAAAGAACGTTTGTTATAAATGCACCAGATGACGCAAAATCGCAACAGAATATTTGTTTGACTCCAGGATGTATCCATACTGCTTCAAGGTACACATATCTAGTTTGTTTATATATTTTTATATTTTACATTAATTTGTTTTATGCATGTTAGAGTGTTGGAATATATGGACCAATCAGTTGACCCTTGCGACGACTTTTACGAATTCACTTGCGGCAATTTCATTAAAAAAACAAACATTCCAGATGATAAATCTTCAGTAACTTCTTTCAGGTATATAGGTATTATTCTAATGAATACAAACTAATTATAATAATTATTTTTGTAGTATTATCAGTGATATGTTACAAGAACAGCTAAGATCCATGATTGAAGAGCCGATCCAACCGAATGAACCTAAACCGTTCCAGCTTACAAAAAAATTGTACAGGGCTTGCATGAATAAAACTTTAATTGAAGCCGATGGTACGCAACCTTTACTTGTTACACCCTGTACAATCAATGATTATTAAAACAAAAATATTAAAAGCTTTTATTAGCAACATTGTTTTTGTTTTAGTTACTAATTATATTGAAATCAATTCTAGGATTGACTTCAATGCACAAAATCCTCAAAGAACTCGGAGGCTGGCCAGTATTGGAAGCAGAAAACTGGAACGAAGGAGAATTCGATTGGAGAAATTCGGTTTACAAATTCAGAAAAGTTGGTTACAGCGTCGATTATTTTATAGATTTTTCCGTTGGAATTGACGTGAAAAACTCAACCAAAAGAATCATAGACGTAAATATTTTGTCACAAATATCACACACAATTATAATAAAACTAACTTTTTTTCTAGCTTGATCAAGGCTCCTTAGGTTTGAGAAGAGAATTTTTAATCAAAGGCCTAGAAGACAAACTAGTAAAGGCTTACTACGATTACATGGTAGACATTGCAGTCCTTTTCGGAGCAGAAAAAAGCAGAGCTGCCAAGGAATTGAAAGAATCTCTCGAATTCGAAATGAAATTGGCCAACGTAAGAATTTAATTTAGTACACAAGGTCAATATAAATCGAAATTTCTTCTTCTCCGAGAGCATCAGGGTTACAAATTAACCGATTTCCATATTGTTTTCAGTGGATAGCTGACCTTGACCTAGTATTCAGATTCTTTGCAAATATTTTGCAATGCAAATTTGGTGGGTGGGTTTACGATAATTAGTGGCCGGTTTTTTTTAAATTGTTTGACCTAAAATAATAGAAGTGTCATTAGCATTATGAACTTATAGTTCAGAATTAGTCCGTTGATAAGACATTTTAACAATTATACTCATAGATATACAAGGTGTATGATAATGGTATGATAATAATGTGACCCATTATTGAAGCTAAAACTGTCCTATTAACCATAGGTGAATTCTTTAGTTATTTCGAAGTTATGTGTGTGTGTGTGTGTGTGCGAGTGCTTTTTGCACTATCTTGTTATGGGATGATTTTTCCTGGACCAAAGTAAAAGGAAATAAGCGTATTCGCCTCATAGAATAGCATACCTTCCTCAAGCCACTGTTTTCTATCCAATAGTTGTGGCCACACTTTTCATCAAACTTTTCATTCTTCCCAGAATCATTAAGTTAGAGGTTTATTAATGGAATTGATTTCCTGTTAGTAGGGTTAAAATAAATAGACAATTAATGTATTAACAAATAAAATCACAATATTTACATTAGAACAGCTGATTGTCTGATCCGATTAGATTGATTAGATTGACAGCGCTCCCAAATATGGTCAATGACCGGTACTAACTTAATTTAAATAAGTCCCATGCCCCAAGTACCATCAAAATCCTCCAGAACCTTTCACCTTGGAGTTTTGACAGAACCTTTTTAAAGGACATTGCAGGGACAAGCAGAGGTCATTCAGGTCGAGGACTTTCCACGATTAAGTGTTCAGAAAAATTCCTCAGGCACATTTTGCCGATTTCTGAGTTGCCAAGTTTTCGCTCATACATCTAGGGTGGCTAATCCGTTATTTTGGCACCAAGGCGCCTTGCGCGGTTTTATTTATGAGCCGAAAAAGAGCAACGTGATCAAGTGTTTGTTTCTAAAGGCCAAAGTATTTTGGTAAGTGGTTTTTCTTATTCGTCTTCCCTGTGTTTTTCTATTGCCTATGTAAAAGCATAGTTTTCTGTTAATTATATGATTAAATTCCGAATATTGAACATACCTACCTATTGCTCCACGCCCAGTCTCATGAAGTTCATTTGTTTCAGGCCTTTATCCATCACCTTTATTCATCACGCTTTAAGCCCGGGACACATCTATCATGCATTCTTCCGATCCGACTCCGATCATACAATCAGGGTTATTTTTGGAACAGGGAGCAGCGTTCCCAGGAGAACGAGTGTTCCGCTGCTCCCCTGTTCCAAGAATAAGGACCTTGATTGTATGATCGGAGTCGGATCGGAAGAATGCATGATAGATGTATCCCGGTCTTTTAGACGTTACCTTTTATTCGTCACGCTTTAGGGCCAAATTTATAGTCGCTCCTTGAGGTTTCCTCAGACCTTAAGGAAGCCTTGAACGTTTAGAATTGCCATGACTAACTTGTCAAATAATAGCAAGTGTCCATTCTAATCTCACGACCGTCAAGGAAGACCCAAGGAACGACTATAAATTCGGCCCTTAAGTCCTTAACTTGAGTAGAGAATTAACCGTTAAGCTTACTGTATATTTCAAGTCGTACCTCCTATCTTCAGCCTCCTCTAGACAATTGGAAGCTTTAGTGACTCCTAGTTACTGAACTTCAGTGCCCAGGGTTAGTTGCTTTTTGTTGCAACCCTGATCCACTCTCAGGCCATCGGAAACACTGGAAGATATCAATCCAATCCGTCAGGTTCCCCTCAATGGATTAGGGACTATTCAGGTTTGATAAGTGTGTTGTATTGTATTAATATCTGGAGCCTATCAAACCTTACCAACCCCTTGTTGAAGTAAATCACCACAAAGACGCAGCTCTACTACAATATTAAATGGGGCCGTCCCGCTAAATTGAAATTAATGTTTCTACGGTAAGACAAGTACTTGTACTGCACCAAAATACCGTTTAATATTATTATTAAAAGTGTGCATTGAAACATAACAATTTTATTCAAGATTGAATTTTTGTCATTATTTGAAATTGATGTTTTCGCGCCTTTATGACGTATTATGACTCCAGCCAATAGGAGACGAACGAAAATAATCCATGTGACGTAAACCCTGAAAAATAGGCAACCAGATAAACACGTTTCATTTTGATCAAAAAATGAACACAGAACTGACAGATTTCAATGTCATAACTGTCCCCTTAATTGGTTGGTTTCTAGTTCTGACGACAGATTGAAAGACTACAATACCATTGGTCAGAGTCATGTGACGTCACGTTAGGCGCGCGTTTTCAATAATTTTTTTTTTTCGACAAATTCAATATTTTTTTTTTCTAACTGAATAACGAGTGGTGGATCAAATTATTTTTACATACAATTTATATTGTACTAGCTAATGACTCGCTGCGTTGCCAGCATGAAAATACATTTCGAAATAATCCTTTTTTTTTTAAATTTTTTGTTGATTTTCTAAAAGTTTTTTTTTTATTCGATACCAGAGTCGCTTGCCAGTGAGTTCAGTGACGCAGTTTAAGCACTCCAGAGCTGCTGTAGAGCGCCTCGGGCTGTTTATAGGCGTTCCAGTGTATCAGAGTTTCGTGCAACTGAACTTTTTTTTTTCGGGATAAAAAATAGCCTATATCACTCCCCTCTATTATAGCCGAATTTGATTGACCGGATTAGATCGATCTGGTTCAATTCAAATGAAACACACTGTGTTCGATTGAAGTTGGATCAGTGCACCCTCATCTACAAAAAAATGATCTAGATCAGAAGAAGTTCACTTAAATTGAACCCAAATCGAACTCTAGGTCAATCGAATTTGGCTTATATACAGATATGTGGTATTAAATTCAAGACCGGTCCAGCCGTTTTCGAATTCAAAAAATAATAAAGTTACGTCGGTTGAATGCGCAAGCCTAAATAAATGAAATGTGGCAACGTTGTTTCATGTCAAAAAAAAGTTTGGTTATGTTTTTATGTAATGTGAATGAGTTTGTTTATAATTAAATTATTAATTAATTCAAAATTAATTTCTTTTTCCGAGATACGTGACCTATCCACAAACCTTCCTTGGGATAGCCATAACAACCTACCAAAGTTTCATCGTAATCGGATAAGTGGTTTTTAAGCGCATATCCGGATACCCCGAGAACATTGATTTTTATATATATATAGATTCAGACAAATCAAAAAGCCAGTAAAAATAAGAGGCGGGTCGGTCCCATTACCCTTCAGATTATGTGTTGTTATTTCAATTTTAACTAATTAAATTATTTATATTACCTGTATTATATGAAACTTGCCATTCAGGTTATGTATTGTTAGGTAGGTACTTCAATTTTAATTATTTATCTATACTACCGATTTTATCGCTGAATATTAAATTTGCCCCTCAGGCTATGTATTGTTACTTCAACTTTAATTAATGATCTATATCTCTCTAATCTATATATATAAAACACAGTTGTGTTGGTATTTGAGCACTTATAACTCGAGAACGGCTAGACTGATTTTTATGATTTTTGCTTTATTGGATTTGTCTTCGTCCATCCTAGGATAATAAATCGAAAAAATCCAAAAAAAAAACAAAACAAAAATTTATCTATTTTACTTATTTATGAAAAAAACTCACTAAGCCCGCATACGGCGCCATCTCTTAAAACCGATACCAAGTTTACCGTCACATTTTCATTGCAAACCATGTGGATTTTATTGTCACACACTTTGCACAAAAACAATTTGAGGAAAGCACTTTATTTTTAATTGTTCTTCACAGTAAAAATGTCCAAAAATAAATAGAATGACAATGTTTTAATTGTGTATTTTATTTTGTTGTTGGTTCGTTCATTCCGAAAGAGCGCGAATTGGTCTACCTGTCATTTCTTGACGCTTGACCATTGACGTTCTGTGGCTAAGTTCCGTTTCTCCTCTTAGGCATCCCTTGACAGCCGTGTTCCGTGCCGACTGTTCGGAGTGCTCCGTCCAGCTGGTGTCGAGTGGCAGAGAGCCAGGTTATGAGTCCGCCACAACCATTTTGTATACGGCGCCATATATGATAGGTACCTAGAACGAAGCTCGCCGTTGCGCGGTAATTTCATTGCAGATACAGTAGAACAGAATACTGCTAAGGAACTGAAGCTATTCTGAACAGAACTATTCCACTATTCCGATCAGATAAAGTGGTGCAGAAAGAGTAGATCAGATAGAATAGTGCGGATACAGTAGAACAGATGGAGTATTGCAGTGCATGCAGTGCAGATAAAATGAAACAGGGCTGCGCTGGAGATTTTTTTTGTTTTCTTTACATTTTTTGAACATTCCTGTGCCTGAGTTTATTTATTTGGTGGTACACTTTATAAGAATAATGCCCACAAGATGCCGAAAAAGGGATGATGTAAAATTTTAATTTCAGGTGACTTCTGATCCAGAAAGTAAAAATTAATTTTCTTCGACCAAAGCCAAATTCACCATCGAAAAAAACTGAATTTAATTCAGTTAATAGATACGTTAACACAACATTTAATAGGTATTTAATAATTCAGAGGAGGTACGAAGTTCGCCGGGTCAGCTAGTATCCCATAAAACATGCTGCACTGAATACAGGAAAATACTTGACAGATTTTAATTATTGTAAATACTATTTTAAAAACATACATAAGATTAGGTACCTACTCCTGTTTTAGACGATTTCTTTTCTTGTTCTGGTTCCGGTGTAAATAATTTTCAGTGTTCCAGGGCGTTCGGAAAACCCACTCCGATCCTGCTCTAAAGTCAACCTGTTCTGGTTCACATTACTGGTTCTAATTAAAACCCGTACCTGATTGTAGCAAAGCGCTTCACTTATGTCCTTCCTTCTTGTTTACATTTATATTTCAGGTTGTGCTGCTATAGGTCCGTAGAAGTTTCCTGCTTTCGTTATATCGATTGACTTCGTGTACTGCAGGGAAAAGCAGGTGGCGCTCTATATTTATTTATTTATTTAATTGATCCACACCCCTCTCCGCATTGGAAGCTAGTCGGCAACCCTTCACACGAAGTCAAGTTTCTAGATTTCAGCCACCAACCAACCCTCTCTTTTTATTTTTTTTGTTTTAGTTACCAATATTCTCTCACTTCCTCAAATTTAATTATATACTTTTCCATCGTGTTTTGCGGGTAACAATCTGTTCTTATTCGTTGCAAAACCGACACAATGTTATTTCATTAGGTGCTGTCCTATTAGGAAATCCTGTACATAGTTTAATAAGCAAATATTCATCGAGGTTCCTGTTTTCATATTATATTTATATAAGTATATATAGGATTTTGTTCCATTTTAATCATTTTCAGATCTCTCTCCCAAGCGAAAAACGCAGAAACGCCTCAACCCTCTACAACCCAATGACCATAAGCGAGCTACAAGACAAATTCCCGAGCATTCCATGGCTCCAATACATCAACAACTTACTAGCACCAGATACTCAAGTTAGAATTGATGAGGTGAAAACTTATATCCTCCCCAAAAAAAATAAAATAAATTCAACTATTTTCCCTTAGATGGTTGTCGTCAGTGTTCCAAAATACATGTCGGACTTTGAAGCCCTGATTGCAAGAACCCCCAAAAGAGTACAAGCCAATTACGTGATGTGGCGAGCTGCTGCTTCTTCGGTTTCGTATCTTAACGAGGATTTGAGAAAGAGACAGTTGGATTACACTACAATTGTTACGGGAAGAACGGAGAGAGAAGCCAGATGGAAGGAATGTATTGATGTATCTGCTGGAAGGTGAAACATTTTTACTTTATATGTAACTTCTTTTGTATTTTTGTTTAATATCTGTTTTTCTTCTTCTGTTATTAATTTTTTTTCTCTACATATTTTTTTGTTTCTGTTTTGTTTTTTCCTATATAACTTGAAGTATAGTTTTCGGTTTTCAATGTTATCAATTTTCATTTTTTTACGTAAATTGTTCATTAATACTTCTCTTAAAACATAGTATGTCCATTGCTGCTGGTGCCCTCTACGTCCGCAAGTACTTCAACGAAGAAGCGAGACAAAACGCAAAAGAAATGGTGGCCGACATCCGATTCGAATTCGAAGACATTTTGAAAAAAGTCGACTGGATGGACGAGAAAACCCGACAAAACGCTTTGGATAAAGCCAAATCCATGTCCACCCATATCGCTTATCCGGACGAGATGCTGGACGACAATAAACTCATTGAGTTTTACGGAGACGTAAGAATAAAATAATTTAAACTTAGTTTTACGAGGGTTCATAAATTTGACATAATTTGCCTTCCTTTTTTAACAAATAGAAATTGACTGAAACAAATCAATGTAGCTTAGAATACAGCATAGTTATTTGAGGATTTGTTGCAGCTTGAGCTTGATGAAAATAAATATTTGCCATCAATTTTGAATTTAACCCTGTTTGGAACAAGATTCTCATTCAAAAGACTTCGATCTCCTGTTAACAAAACAGACTGGATAACGCATGGAAGGCCTGCAGTTGTCAATGCTTTCTATTCTTCAATTGAAAACAGTATTCGTAAGTCATTTTATATAGATTAATATATATATTTTTTCTAAACAAACTCCTATGTTAGAATTTCCTGCTGGTATTCTCCAAGGAGTTTTCTTCAGTGCCGATCGTCCCAGATACATGAATTACGGAGCAATCGGTTTCGTAATCGGACACGAAATCACTCACGGATTCGACGATCAAGGCAGACAGTTCGACAAAGACGGCAATTTGGTCGATTGGTGGCAACCGGAAACCAAAAGTGCTTTTGTAGAAAAAGCTCAATGCATTATCGACCAATACGGAAACTATAGCGTGCCCGAATTGAATTTGAACGTAAGTTTTGCAAGTAGTTTTGTTTTGTGTACTTTAGGGGGGCTTTGTGTAGATTATGCTGGCTATATTGCATTGGGATTGGATACTGATATTGATGCGAATTGTATATAATTTGATGAAGGGATTAAAAGCATGTATCTATTCGATATCTGTTAAGCCAGGTTGACACAGTCCAAGTGCACTTGGATTAGAGCTTGGACCAAGTAAATTGGCATCTAGCCTAATGTAAAACCTATCCAACTGGACTTGGATATAGCCTTGTTGACACAGTCCAAGTGAACTTGGATGGTAAGTTGGACAAAGTAAGTTAGCAGCCAGCCTACTTGGATGTTAGAACCTATTCAACTGGTGGTGGGTCCAAATGAAACGCGCGCTACGTCCAAACTTGATCCAAGTACCCTTGGACAGTGTAACAAATTGGCTCAAGCAGCTTGGATCAAGTGCCCTCACTTGGACTGTATCATTTGTTTATCCAAGTCCAGTTGGATAGGCTCTACCAATCAAGTAAGCCAACTTAGTTGTTCCAAGTTCTCATCCAAGTGCACTTGGACCGCATCAAACTTTAGCTTTAGTTTTGTCTATTGGGGAAAATGTTGAAATTTTGATGTGGGTTGTATTATGAATTTAAAGTAACATTGAATATATTGCAAGTTTAAATTGAATGAAATTTAACAACCTTTGGCAAATGAAGGTATGTATTATATTACACACACCTTGTATAAATTTACACAACAAACTCAATAGCAATATCCATTCGTCCGTCCAATTTTAGTACAAAGAATTGTGTATATTACAACCGCATACTGCATGGTATAAACTAACACCAACTAAAACTTCCTCTTGCAGCTAAATGGTATAAACACTCAAGGTGAGAACATAGCTGATATTGGAGGTATCAAAGAGTCTTACCTAGCTTACCGTAAATGGATCGAACGTAATGGCGAAGAAAGTTACTTGCCGGGTTTGAATTACAACGGACGGCAAATGTTCTGGCTATCGGCCGCTAGTATTTGGTGTTCGGTAACCAGGGAAGAAGAATTGAGGCAATTGGTGATTACCGACGAACATGCGCCAGATAGATACAGAGTGATTGTACCTTTGAGCGACATGCCTTATTTTGCTAACGATTTTCATTGTCCTAAAGGTTCGAATATGAATCCTGTTAAAAAGTGCAAAGTGTGGTAGACGAATGAATTTCTAGTTTTCAAATTATAATTTACTTGTAGGTCGAAATTTTAAATTGATGTGATTAGGAAAGGCCCTGTTTTTACTTTATGTCTTGTGTGATTTTAATTTGTTACGATTTTGATAAGACTATTTTTTAGTTACTCTTTGCCTGTATAGATTTTATAACTTTTTTTAAATTATGGGTCAATTCTGTGCACATCTGTAAGCAATTCTATAAATTTCTATAAGCTCAAACCTGCCTAAAGACAATTTTTAATTCTGCACTTCGTGTAGATTACAGGATATATTATAGGATCGTAAATATTTCCTATGGAGTGTTTGGCAATCGATGCGTTTTGGAGTGTCTATAGGCTTATAGAAATTTATAGATTTATTTACAGATGTGCACAGAATTGACCCGTTAGATTAAGAAACTTTGCATAGTTTTTATGGAAATTTTAATCCTTTCATGTGTCTTCACTTGAGTCATCAAGTACTCAGTTTATGTGCTGGAAAAATCTTGAGATACAAATCAGCTAGAATAGCCAACGCAGCGCTCAAAGGAGTACCAAAAACATAAATGTTATTTGATTTCTTATCAAGCTCAACCTGGTAGAAACCCTTTTTAAAAACCCAAAATTAATTTAGCATTTGTATCAGCTAATACTGAGATCTCATTCTCTTTGTTATGTTAAATTCAGAATCTAGACGACAAAGGTGGACGAGGTACCCTCCTAGGTGGTATAGCAGGTTATGCTCAGTCTGAGCTAATTTTAGCTTATTTTTTTTTAAAAGAATTTGCCAAATCCATCTTTATTATTTTTTATGAACTTTTCTTTACTCTGATCCAAGTTACCCATATTGGCTTTTGTCAAAATTCCGAAATTTAAACTGATACAACCCAAGATTCTAGATCTTCTGTCAACACATTCTTGGTTCATAATATGTTCATGATTTAAACTTATTCATATTCAGTTTTTTCTTGAACACTCATGAACCTCTGATGCAGGACGAGCGCAGCGAGTTCCGCAGCAATTTACTGTAGTATAACATACCCGGGTTTGCTCAGTAAGATTGAACGATGAGAATTTTTATTACCTTTTAAACAACAAATCTTCTGAAAAATAAAATGAAAAACAAATAGGACCTACGTTGTGAAAACTTACTCAATTTTACTTACTGGACTTGCGCCCGACATAGCAAATATTAGGGAAATTTGAGGGAATTTGTGATATGTAAAAGAAACGAAAAATTTGTGAAACGTCTACTTTATTATTAAAGTAAATCGTACCATTCTCGACCTAGAATTCTCGAGGGGAAAGAGAACGGCAGAGAAACCCTCGATCTAACATTCCTCAAAAATCGAAACATACTGTGTCATTTTAAATAATAATTATGAATCATTAATTCAATAAAAGTTGAAACTAGGTAACGCCCCTATTCTTGTGCTAAAATTTTAATTACACACTCAACATTCAATCAACACTACCTATACTGAAGAGTTTTTGGTTAGTTAGCCAGTTTCCCAGCAGGTACTGAGGTCCCATACGGGAAGCTACTCAGCTATAGTTGTTTTTGAGCCAATATCTCTAGATTGATTATTTCAATTTGTTAGGATATTCTCTCGTCAGGGTAGGAAAATGTTAGTAAATTCAAAAAGGCCCTAATACACGCTCTAAATCCAAAAATCAAAATCCTAGCATAAAAAGACAGCACATAATTTCTTAGGTTTTAATTTACTCTTTATCTGCGTTTTTTACAGCATGAAACGATTTTGGTTAAATACATAAACAATGCACATGTTTGTTATAAACAAACAAAAAAACATAAAAATGAAAAGAAATAATACTTGTATAAATAATTGAAGTCTCAAAAACAAAATAACAACTATTCAACTGACCTGGTGATCGCTCCTTGACACACACACTAATAACAAATTGGATTAAACAATCCAATTTAATGCAAAATGAAAATAAAAATTGAATAATGAATAATTACAGATACGCGTTTATAAGGGACCAGTCCCTGCTTGTTCTGTAGTCTAGTTGCGTATTTTCTATCTACCCTTCGTACTGGTACTTTTCTGATGCGGCGCACTCTTCTTCTCATGAATTCCACTTGGCAATACATGGTTGCAACATCTACTTTTATTCAGTAAACATTTTTTTAAAAAGTTAAGATTTGAAGAAATGATATTTTAAATACGTGGTTTTCCTCATTACCTATGAAATCTACTCATTAGTTCAATAAGTCACTAATTTTCAAGTCAAATTTGCTCATTTTCAAATCAGATTCACACAACAACTAAGCATTTTTTAAGTTTTTCTTTATCTTTTGAAGAGTTCATCTTATCTTTAACATGTAAAGTAATGTTTTGACAATGACTGAAAAATATTTCCAGATTTAGAAAATTCAGAAAGTTATAAGCGGAAGAGGTGATTCATTATATTCCTACTGGCTTTGTACTTGAAATTTACAATTTCATTCGAAATTTCCATAACAATTATGCTCTAGCTTAGTCTAGAAATAAGGAGGAAACCCTAAATTTGTTTTTAATTGGAAATTTCTCTGTATCAGAGTTTAATTTTGAGTTTATTATAAATAAGTATTTTATTCTATGAAAGTAATAATAAAGTGGGAGTGATTGGAAAGTGCATGAATTTGTAGACGAAATTTAGAAAAATAATTTGTAAATTTTGTGTGTGTATTTTTTTTTAGGGTTTTCTTATTAGTACTTAATAGGAATTATTAGTTTTTTTCGATGTATAATTCTAGTAATAAGTAATTAATAATTTATTTCTAAATATTATTATTGTCTAAAGTTTTTATTAATAAAAAATAATTTAATTTATCATGTTTTTTTTATAAATTGTGAGCTTTGTGTGCTAGGTGAAGGGGTATATGTGTAGCTTAATGTGTATAATAAAGCTAGAAGGCATGTAGAAATACTCATACTGTATGTAAAAGATACACAAAAATGCGATGATAATTGCACTTTTCTAACGCTGTTTCTATTGGTTAAGTAGTACTGCAGAAACTTTAGGTAAGTTGTGAAAATAATTTGATAGTTTGGTGAAAAGCCTTTGAATGTATTAACCTTATAATGTCTTATATTAATAGTTTTGTTTTTTGAACTTGGGTCTGGATAATTTGCATAGTGCATATTTGAGGTATGCACCAGAATTTTCTCCAGCTACAAACATTCCTAATATAATTTTTAACAATAATACTAACCAATCAGCATCAATACTGCCTGTAAATCTCATTTGAAATTATTGTAGCTCAACGGAGTAAACACCCAAGGTGAAAACATAGCCGACAACGGAGGATTAAAAGAAGCCTACCTTGCCTACCAAAAATGGTCGCACAAAAACGGGTACGAAGCCATGCTTCCAGGCCTGATGTACAACCCCAACCAAATGTTCTGGATATCGGCAGCGAACACTTGGTGCTCAAAATACAGACCGGAATCTTTGAGGCTCAGAATTTTGACCGGCTACCATTCGCCTGGACACTTTAGAGTACTTGGACCGATGAGCAATTCTGACTATTTCTGGAAGGATTTCAATTGTCCAGTCGGTAGCAAGATGAATCCGGAAAAGAAATGTAATGCCTGGTAAATTTCATTCGATATAAAACGAATAATGCTTTTTATCGGTTATAAATAATTTTTATTACAAAAATTGTGTTTTATTTATATAGGCCTCCTTTGCAATACTACTCAAATTCTCTGCCATAGATTTGCCAGTTTGCTGCACCAACTCGTAAAAATTTGCTTTATTTTGCAACAACTCGTGCGGATGTCCAAACTCTACCACTCTACCGGCATCCATTACCAAAACCTTATCGGAATCCATTATGGTATGCAGTCTATGGGCTATCGTCAGGACTGTGAAATTTGAAAACTTACTTCTAATGGTTTTTTGAATTAAAACATCAGTTTGTGGATCTACATTAGCTGTGGCCTCATCCAGGACTAAAATTTTGCTTTTTCTTATGATAGCACGCGCCAAACAAATCAATTGCCTTTGGCCTACGCTGAAATTCGAGCCGCCTTCCGATATGCGGCTTTCTAAGTTTGAAATTGCTGATTTTAATTCAACTTCTTCGAGTGCACTCCATATTGCCTGAAATTCATTAAAAATTACAGCAATCTTTTTGGAGAAACATCAACATTTACCTTATCAGTATACTCATCAAATGGATCCAAATTCTTCCTTAAAGTTCCACTAAACAATACCGGCTCTTGCGGTATAATAGATATGCTAGATCTTAACTTGGTAAAGCTCACTTTACTAATATCAACATTATCGATAATGATTCTACCTTCATTAATCGCCAATCGAAACAAAGCCATGATAATGGAAGACTTGCCAGCTCCAGTCCTACCAACTATACCAACTTTTTCCGTACTTTTAACTTCAAACGAGAGATTTTTCAAGACATAATCTTCACCATTGGCATAGGCAAGGCTCAAATTGTCGAATCTAACGTTGCCTTCTTGGGGCCAAGATTTCGGTGGGTTTTTAGTGACGGTGTCTCGTTCGGGTACCACGTCTGCGTACTCTTTGATTCGTTCTACGCAAGTCATGGTGTTTTCTAATTCGCACCATTGACGCATACCCCATTGGAACATTCCGCTCAGGTTCACCGCTTGGGTTATTGCCAAGCCGACGCTACCACCGAAAATTTCTGAAACAAAACTGAAACTGTATTTGAGGCTTGTGACAAAGTTCACTGTATTTGAATTTTAAAAAATTATAGATCAGGAATTTCGTGCTAAGATTTCCTGGACGAATGTAGTCGTAATTTGAAGTGAAAAACCACCAAGAAAACCACAAATCTAGAGAATTTTGCCTGATATGGATGAGAGCTGATTTTTCATTAAACAAAAAACTTTCAAAATCAAATTCATAAGACTTCTTGGAACAGAAAAGACCAATCGTAGCCAATTAAGTTGTGACAAAACAACTGGGAAATGTTATTGGAAACCTTAAAATATGGATTAGACAAACTATGAGAAGATACCAAAGTTAATTTTTGCATCTTCAAACAAGCTAGTTTCTCCTATCACCAGTCGATTGCAGATAATCATATCAGCTATGAAATATAAGATTTTCCAAACATTTTCTTAATAGACGAACGATCGTTTGCTCTTTACCGCCTGGATAACTGAATTCAACTCCCACGACTTCTTACTTCAAATTCATCAGAAATTCATTGATAAAATGTCAAAATTAATGACTGCGTTTGATTGTAGATTTATATTGGCATGAAAAGGCAAATTAATTACGATTCCATTATCCATTCTCACCTGTATCAAAAAATAAGAAGCTCAAAGTGACCACAGCAATAAAAACCATACAGTGCATGTCCAACCAAAATCCGAAAGTCCTGTTTGCTGCTAAGAACATGAAAAATGCTGAACTGTAAGTGTCTTGGTAAACATCGAACTCGGTTTTTAGAATTCCTTGCGCTCCGAATGCCCTTATTGTAGTCAAACCTTGCAGAGAGGCTGTTAGATGCGAATATACTGGGCTTCTAGCTGAAAAAAAAAATCGCCATAATCTATAGCTAATTCTGATATTTACTTACTTATTCCCTCGAGTCTCTTTAAGTCTCTGCTTGTAGCCAAAAAAAAAATCCTTAAAAAATAGAATATAATCAAAATAACAACTGTTGGAATAAGCATCCAGGAATTAACTGAGGCTACCACTAGGGATATGGCAACTACGTTTAAAGCAATCTAAAATCAAATTCTATTATTAATATCCTCATGGATTATCTCAAAATCAACCTGTAAACTATCCAAAAGACACAAAGGCAAAACCTCATCCACCTGATTCATGTCCTTCGAAAACCGATTCAGAATCCTTCCAGATGGATTCGTATTAAAAAACCTCATGGTCGCGTAAACGATTTTATAAAACATGTTGTTGTGAAGCCTTATTGAAGCTTTATTGCAAAATCTATAAAAAGTCAAGGATCTGCCAATAGTGAGGATTATCACCAAACCTATTAGAACTGAATAGGTGATCACGACAATATTGTCTTGCATTTTGCTTAGCCAAAAATCTTCAAAGATCGTATGATTGTTGATGGAGGTGTCGTTAAATTTAAATTTTAGGATGGCGTCTAGTTCCATTCGTTTTATTTGATTCATGTTGACCCTGTAAATAAATTGATACAGGCAAAAATATCGCAGCAAAAAAAAAGTTACCATATTTTTAAATAATAATCCAATCCACTAGATATTGCTTGTGTTATAACAAACGTAATGAAAAGCGTCAAAACTTTGCACCAATGCCCTCCTGCTTTAAAATACGACTTGTACACGTTCCATGATATTTTGCCCCCTTCTCTGCTTTCTTTTTCAATTTCTGGTGTCTTGAAATCAGTAAAATCAATACTAAATAATCATGAATAATAGTTACATACCTTATCATCATTTTCAGGAATTAGTTCTTTGGTTGACAGCCTCCTAATCAACTTAATAGGAATTTTTTCATCATCATCAATAGTTTGTTCTATTTCATTTTCCTCATCAATGATTTCCTTTAAATCATCAAGCAGCTTTGTAAAATTTTTACCAGAGCCTTGAATTTCTTCATAATTTCCAGAATGTTCGATTTTCTTATTGCCCAAAAGATAGATTTTTGGCACGTGCTTCAAATATTGCAATTGATGTGTCACTAGTACAACACATTTGTCTTTCAAGTAACCGGTGATGCATTCTTCAAACATTTGTTTGCCTACATGAGCATCTACAGCTGACAATGGATCGTCAAGTAAATAAATATCAGCTTCTTTGTATACAGCTCTAGCTAAATTAATTCTAGCTCTTTGTCCACCACTCAAAGACACTCCTCTTTCACCTACAATTGTTTTATCTCCACAAGAAAATAAATTAAAGTCTCTTTGTAATTGACACACTCTGATTACTTCATGGTATTTTCTGGCATCAAATTTTTGCCCAAAAGTTATGTTTTGCCTTACACTCCCAACAAAAAGCCATGGTTCTTGGGAAGCATACGAAATGCTTCCTTTAACATTTATTGTACCAGATATTGGCCTTAATTCACCTAAAATACCATGCAAAAGAGTGGTTTTACCACTTCCAACAGGCCCTATAATACAAGCTAATTCTTGACTTCCAACATCCATATTTAAGTCATTTAGGATATTCGTTTTTGACCATTTTATTGAAGCGTTTTTCATTCGAATTGAACCATTAGTAATATTGTCATTGGAATTGAAAAAGTTCGAGCTGGAATCGAAATCGACTTCTTCGTACAATAAAAAGCTTCTGATGCGTTTAACTGAAACGCTAGCTTCGGCAACTTGAGCGATGCCTTGAGGCAAGAACATGGTTAAGGAAAATCTTAAAATTCCATAGAAAGATTGTAGTAGGTAGACGTAGTGAGCATCTAAAGTGTTGCCCATTAAAACGTAGGTTAAAATACATACGTAAATGGCTGCGCTGTTGAGGAACATGTTGAAGGACATCATTATTGCTCTAATTATTGAGATTTTTTTGATTTGGTCTATTTCTTTTCTGGAAATGAAGAAATTTTGGATTCAAAACTATGTATGCAAACAATATCTTGTAATCGGTGAGAGATATTGAATTAAAATTTTCAGGAATTGTAACTCCCATTTGAGCTCTAAAAAAACTGTATTAGAAAATATTTTCAGGTTTTGAGAAAATTGAGCATGAAGTTTTTTACGCTGTTAATTGATCATTTGGGAATGATGTTAGTATACCTAAAAGTATACAAGTTACCTTCTACTAAGTTCTACAAGTTTAGCAAACGGTTTTTCCCACGTATACATCTTAATTACTTGAATTCCAGAAATAATTTCGTTCATGAGCCTTATCCTCTCGTCAGTCCTAATTGCAGTGGCCAATCTATAAACCGAAGTCTTTTTGCCCATCCACACTAGAAAAATCGATGTATTAACTTCAAATTACTACAATCAAAGTTACTTACTTTGAAACGGTACAAACATCACCATAAGCCCAACGCCAATTAACCCAGTGGGTCCAACAAAGTAATACAACAAACCCAAAGCCACAAGAGTCTCTAACGGAGCAAGCCACAAATTGTGAATATGGTTTGTAGCCATTTCAAATCTACCAACGTCGTTGGATATTAAATTCACCATTTGACCTACAGTGGTTTCCGCCAAGGCACTTTTGCTTAGCTTAAGAGCTTTTCTGTAGATCAATGTAGATGTTGCTACACGAATTTTCATACCTACAATCTAATTGATTATATAAATTGATTCTTATTATTATTGTTTACCTAAATGGAAATTGTTAAGCATGTAAGTATGCTGGAAAGTTGCTGAAACAAATGCGCAGCCAGCAAGTCCAAAAGCGTAATAGTAAGCTTCAGTTTTGGTCATGGTTGTGTCAGGATCATAGTAGTTTAATAGTTGGTTTAGTAATAATGGGGCTGAAAGCCTACATTTCTTGAATATCACTTAAAACCACTCGAAATTATTAGTGAATGCCTCACCTAACAAAAATCTCAATAAACATAAAAACCAAACCCAAGATGATTAGTTGATGGCCAAAGACCTTCCACAATGCTACAGTCAATGAAGGATTTTTTGGGTTTTTCTTTAGTTGCTTCTCCCATTCTTCAGTTAATCTGTCACCTAGATAGCCTGATTCGTGCTCTTTTAAGGCACTACAAAGGTCTTCTTCACTTAGGTTTTGTTTGTAACCTTTTTTGAATAGCGGAAATAGAAATCTACGAAAAATTTTTGGCAATGTTAATGATGATGATGATTCATTATAATATGGACTTTCATTATCAATTTTAAAAATAGAATTACTTACGTAAAGAATAGTTTAGACAAAATATTGGCCCTAACATAAGGATGCACTTTTCTATTTTCAACAGTTTTCAACTCTTCCATTTTGAGTTTAGTTAAATTATACAGAGGCAAACCTCATTGAATCTTTTTTTTTTTAAATTAAAATGAGCAATTATACCTACTTACGTATGTATATCAACAATATTATTTATTATTTATTCTTGGCTAAATATTGCGATACTTGGCAAATACGCGATTAGTGAGAATTTTCATTGTTAAGTTTTTAGTTGTTTGAATAGGTTCTCGACAATAATATCAAAACATACATAATTATTTGGGTGAAGGGAAAACCAGACGTTTATATAATAAATTTCTAATGCTAGTAGTGTTAAATTTATTCCCACTCTTGAACAGCCAGAATAAATTTGTGCCATGGAAATATTTCATTTTCCAAAGACGGGTTCCTGCTGCCGAAACCTACTTACCAAGGTTCATAACTGGACAAAGGCTAGTCTTTTGATGTATTCTATCTAGATTTTGGAAAGGCTTCTAACAATTAAGGTACCATTTAGGCGGCTTTTTCATAAATTCTATAACTATAGTATGAGAGAACTTCTACTCAACCTAATACCAGATTTTCTGCAGGATCGACAGTTTTGTGTCAGGAAGTTAAATTCCTGTGAAGTTTTTAGTTATGACCCCCAAGGCTCAGCCCTTGGCCCTCTACTCTTCCTTGTATATATCTATTAATGACCTTCCAAATGGATTGAGGAGTCAGATGTCGTCATTTGCAGATAATTCTAGTTATTATAGTAATCCTGTAACGTAAAACGGAAGCCTGAGGATATAAATGCCTTCAAACAGTGGACAACCACTTGGCAAATGTCACTGAATAACTCCAAGTGTCCATTTCTTCACCTGAGCAAAAACAATCCCAGGATTCATTGGGTCTACCCAAAAAATCTGTGTTGCTTGACAAAATGATTTGGGAATTGCTGTCATTAAAGACATGAAGTAGAAAAATGATATAAATGTCATCATGAAGAAGTCAAAGCTATAGAAGACTTAGGTACATAAGACCCAGGTTGGTATCTGACTCCAAAGGCAGAAATATCATTCAGTGTGTTTAATCGGTTTGTAAAAATCATAGCTCCGTTATCCTGGGCTATTTTTTTCACAAAATTTTGGTATGTCGCAGCTGAAAGCTTCCCTAATAAATGAAAAAATATTTAGTTACTCTAGGTTTCCCAGATTACCAGAAAAAAAATCAAAAATTAGACCATTGACTCCAAGGCAAAAATATCAGTAGTTATCGGAGTGTGAAAATCATAGCTCTATTTTTCCATAAAATTTTAGTATTGTGAAGCTGAAAGCTTCTTTATTAAATAAAAAAATATTTGGTTCCTCAAGGTTCCCCAGATTTCCAGAGAAGAAATAAAAAACTAGACCATTGACTCTAAGGCAGAACACTCAGTGTACCTATTTTATCGGATTTCAAAAATCATATAGCTCCGTTATCCTGGGCTAATTTTCCATAAAATTTTAGTATGTTGAAGCTTACTCAGCTAGCAACAAATTCTTTTAACAACAATAAGCTAGACTGCAGAAACTGGTGGTTTTATCACAATATTATATGGAACAAAAAAGTTTTGTATTTATGTGATCTATCATCTATAATTTACAAATTCCTTCTAGTTTATTCATAAAAATTGTTATAGCAACAAATTCTTGCCCAGATATTTATTTAGTTGAAAAAGTGCTTCGTGAACGTAAAACAAAAACAATTATATGTTAAATGGTTGGGTTTTCCAAATCAGTTCAACTCGTGGATAGATAAGTCTGATATTGTTTAAAGATATATCAGTTTTTAAGTATTCGTAAAATATATGGCAATTCTTCACTTGAGTACCAACGTTGTCCTTCTTGGTTAAATGACTCTTGGGAAAAAGATTGTGGAGAATTCTGCAAAAATATTTCTGAAGGTGATCGTGGGATTTACCATTCTTCTTCACCCAAATCCCAACGCTGTCTTTCTTGGCTAAGCATCGAGGATGAATTTTGTAGTTGAAGGTGTAGACAAACTAATGAGTTTTTTGAATTTAGATATGTGGGTATAAATATTGTGAACTTCGGAAGAGAAAGTAGGGGTCAATGGTGAATACACGTGAAAATTACTGGAAATCCATTTTCTCGAGGTTGCTTTTGTCATATTCTTATTTTGCTAGCTGCAATCAGATTATTGGCCTTCTTCTCAACAACCAACAAGTTTTTCATGCCCCCCTCATTGTCTTTTCCAAATCAGCTATTTTCTCCACAATAGGGGAGAGCGCCCAACAGTGGTCACCCTTTTTTTATTTCTCAGATATTTTCTATCTGGTAAGGAAAATTAGATTTTTTTTCAGTCTACATATTTGGTTACATCCTAAAATAAAATAATAGTTCAATTAGTGAAAAAACTTCCTGTTTTTTTTTTGCATTACTTTTTTGAAAATTTGTTAAAGTGGCCACTGTACGAACCTGGATTGGTTCCACGGTATTCTTACAGTGGCCACAGCTTTCAACATTACAATCTGTTATAATTATCGTCATAAATAATCACAAATATCATTTAAAACAAATTTATTTCGAAAATACAAAATTAACAAGATGATGTTAATCAAATTTTAAGTGGATATAGATAGATTGAGCTAATCTAGGTATAAACTGAATGAAGATAAATCGACTGAAAAATAATGGAGGCAGTGCCGGCCCGAGCCTACTTTTAGCATGGAGCGAGATCCGACTTTGGCGCCCCTAATTCAAATGTGAATCGTACTCGCATGAATTTTGCCCAAAACCTATAGGACCCTATTTATCTTATCAATATATCAATTGAAATTTGAAAACATCCATGTTCATTGGTACCGTTGGTATCTACTCTTTTCCTTTTGATACTGGATTCAAAGTAGAATGACAAGCAAATAATGAAAGTTGTGTGAAAATAAGTGAATATACTTAATATTTACTTTTTAAAGAGTTAAGTAATCACCACTTTAACTAACACTTTTAAAACTAAAAATCGAACAAACAAAATACAAAATTTTAGGTAAATCGCTGTTTGCGCACTTTTGTATTTGCCAATTTGTATGATCTCCTCATATGACAATGTCTGAGCAATATCATATTATCCAATGGACAGCAGGGCCAGATCAGAAAGGTTGTCTTCTGCTAGAGTTGACCCCTAAGCCTAAGGTTTCACGTTGCGTTCGGAATTTTGCTCAAAGAGCAAAGCGTGCTGAAGCGGAGCAGTAGCTACGTGACCATTAGCGCACAGACCGCGAATGAGCCTACACCGAGCCAACTTTTTAAATAAACGAACAGTAAATTCAAGCTACTCGGAACTCTGATCATGATACTAAACGCCACGGTTAATTAACCTAAGCTTGCTAAAGCTCCGTCCATTTTCGCCGCCAACAGGAATGGTAACAACAAAAAAGAAGTGCTGTCCAGATATTAGGGAACTTATCTTGCCAATTATTTAATGCTAAGGTCTAAAGGACTGCCTTTGAGCGTTGATTTGAGTGACCTCTATCACTATCTTAAAACTTCTCCAAACACATTATTTTCTCTTTTAGGGCCGGTTTATTCACCTTTTGATAAACTGTCGAACAATGCAATCTGACGGATAGCAAGCCAATCGGCAATCCCTTTGGTCGGCCAGCTATCCGTCGACCAATAGGATTATAGATTCGTAAATTTGTCTTGCAGACAGTCATCAGAAAATGTATCTGGAAATGAAGAAACCGGGCCTAAACGTTCTATGGGATTCACATACTAACCACGCGCTTGCTTGCAAGCAGAATAGCAGGATATGGGAAAGCGAAGGCAGGATTCAAAACAAAAATATATTTTTCTCTTTTTTATATTTATCATCAACGATTCGGAGGCGCCCCCCGAAGTCTGGCGCCTGGAGCGCTCGCTCCGTTCGCCTTATGGTAGGGCCGGCCCTGAATGGAGGCTTTGAGCTCTTGCAATTCCTCCTGAAGTTATAGGTGTGGGAAGATGCATTACCATATCGCTAAAGACGGTAAGAGATACAATAGATCGTCTTGGACATCTCAGCTCAACAGTGGCTACCGCTATCTATTCCAATAAGTAGTGGCCACTGTTGGTTTCTCGAGATATGGCCACTGTTGGAAATTTACCACTAGAAAATCAAACTTAACCCATAAAAAACCGTGCATACATTTCATGTTCTAAATCTTTGAATCTCGTCACAAATAGAATATTTAAAAGTAGGCAACGGAAAATGACTTAGAAAACTTACCAAAATACTAATTTTCAATGGCCGAATATTCACACAAAAAAAAGAATTATCAATAAAAAACATATAAGGTAAATTTTCCATCCAGGATGGCGCTAGGCGTTTCATTTTGTTACTTTTGGGCCAGATGGCGCACCTGTTCAAGCGCTGTAAATACCAAATATTACCTGTGGCCACTGTACCGACCCTGGCCACTGGTGGGCGCTCTCCCCTACTTTATTTCTTTACATCATATCTTTCTATTTTGTTTTTCAAAGTAATCATTCGGTCATCAACACTTATCAAACTGTCATAAGTAGCTTGATATATTTTGTTTGTGCTAACTCTTTGCATAATTTATGAATCTCCTCCAACACATATTGTTTGGTAGTAGCATCATCACTAGATTCCGATATTGCAACATTCAGTGAACGCTTTCCCACACTAATAAATTGAACATCCGATGTTTGCATAAATCCCACTCCCGACAAACCACGTAAAATTTGAACTCCGTCATCATGGATTGTCTTCTGACGACCAAACTTATCTATTGTGTTGTTAACACTCCCCATTTCGATGAAGAAATGAAGTTATTAACTCTTGTGTCGAGATTTACCAGTTTTTTTTTCATTATTTTCCATCCGTTGTTCTAAATTGCGTATTTTTTTATGATTCCCTAGATCTTTGCTTATATTGCTGTTTCCAATATCATCCATTTTTTTTTTATCTGTGTTCTTAAATCTTTCCTTAATACGATTTTTCAATTCATCTAATGCATATTTCGTTTGTTGATGAAATGTCCGAATTTTGTCAAGAACAAATTCTTGGGTGCTAACATCATTAGGTACCTATCTGCTATCGGTTTTGCAACATTTGATAAACGCTTTCCTTCAATATCATAGTGACCATCGAAAGTTAACTTGAATTCGTTTTCCTGTGCACCACGTAAGAACTGGTGTTTATTATATATTCTCTGACGACCAAATTTATCTGTGTTGTTAATACGCCCCATTTTTAACTAGAACTAACCATGTAATTATCAATCATCTGGCTTATAATGTGGAAGTAACCAAGAGTATAGGGTGAAAACAAAAAGTGGAACAATTTTCATAAAAATTTATTATTACAATTACCTAATTTATTATCTAGATACAATATTTTCTTCTTGAGTAAGTTCGCCTTCCCGTCTCAACCCATATTTCGTTACTAATTCACTAGGCATATATGTACATGTGGCATTTCGATCAGAAGTGATTTCAGGTCTTCCTTGGTCAAGACCAATGATATCTTCGAGACAAGTTTGCTTTTGCATTAAAGTTGACGGCATCTAGAACATATTTTAAATAATTTGTATCGTTTGCTGGAACATCCGAAATGATATTTCTTCGGCCATGTGCCCTAATTTGCGCGTCAGCCAGATCACATAGAAATTCAAGTCTTCGTTAACACTTGGTGTGTTATTGCTGATGTCACTCATCTTTAGAAATGTGGAAAATATGGATTAATACTAATACTTATGTGGAAATTACAATATATCTTAAAACTCATCCCATTTTTCGAAAATTATCAATTAATAATATGCTGTACACCGCACATAATATTATAAAATTTATTCCAAGCACCCGAAATTTAAAATGGTCGTAGAGTTACCCCCATATGTATGTGAACTTTGCCCTAAATATGATAATGTGTATTTATCATATGAAGAATTCATAATAATTTCAATGGTGTTCTCCGATAGCATTTCCGCTACATGTTTTGGTAAAAATGTTGCAAACGTCACATCTTCATTGTGGTAAGAATAGTTTTACCAAATCGTTTTACCATCAACACCAGTTTCCTAATTATGTAGATGTAGATGTAGATTTCGGGGGAGTCGTTTCGGCTTTTCAGCCGTTCAGCACTGCTACCTTTGCAGATATTTTGTGCGTGACTCTACATCTTAATTTGTCTCCAGGAACCGTAGACTTCTGCCGAAGGAAGCTATTTTCCTGGGTGTCAGTTGGCCCACTTCTTCTGGTGATTGCGTCTGAGCAGAATCTGCAGAGATCGTCTTCCGCTCTGCCCATTAACCTCTAATGGTATTTTACTGGGCAGTGACCTGTGAGCAGTCCCACCACCAATCTGATGTCTGGTCTGCTCATGCTTAGGAGCTGTTCAGCTCTTTTTGCTGAAAGGGTAATAAACCTTTTTGACTGTCTGAGTCCCGGTGTGTGCCTCCAATATGATGACAGTTGGTCTTTCTCCCATTTGTTGAGTTCTTCCATGATGTGGCTTTTCATTAAGCCACAGTAGGGCTCTGGTCCATGGTATGGTGTTGAGGCCCCTTCCTTTGCGAGACCATCTGCCTCTTCGTTTCCTTCTATGCCTCGATGACCAGGCAGCCACATCAGCGTTACCTGGTTATGTGTCGCTAGTGTTTTTAGGGTCTGTTTACACTCCCAGACTAGTTTTGACGTGCATTTGAAAGCCCTTAAGGCTTTTAAGGCAACTTAGCTGTCGGATAGTATGAAGATGTGTTTTCTTTTGAGGCTTTGGTTAAGACACTCTTGTGCACATATATCTATGGCAAGCAGTTCGGCTTGAAATATTGTAAGATGTTTACCCAATGCCCTGGAGAGCTTGAAGTTTGGGCCGGAAATGCCCAGTCCAGCTCCTTCCATTAGCTTGGATCCATCTGTGTACCACAGAGATGCATTGTCTGCTTGTGGTAGTTCTTTATTCTCCTATGATTGGCGGTCGTTTATTACCACTGCGAAGGGGATCTCTAAGTCCAATCTGACCATCATGTGGTCACTTGGTTTGCTGGCATTCTCCAGTTTTATTAGATCAAGGATTTTCAGATGTCCCCTCAGATCGCCAGGCTTGAACTTGTCTATTTGGAATAGCCTGTGAGCGCTGGTTATTGCCTCCTTTTTCACACATAGGTGAAGTGGGGGCATGTTGAGTAGCGTCTCTAGGGCTGCGGTGGGGCAAGTTGACATTGCTCCCGTTATTCCTAGACATATCAGCATTTGCACCTTTCTTAGCTTAATCTGAGCGGTGACTTGTTGGGTTTTGGGCTACCACACCAATGAGGCGTATGTGACCATAGGCTTTATTATGAATTGGTAGATCCAGAATACCATCTTTGGCTTTAGCCCCCATGTCCTAATTATGTAAACTTCATCCAGTTTTAATGAGAAAATTTTTCTTCTTTCGAGAAAATAAAATTTTTTGTTATGCATAAATTATTAATTTCAATCAAGGTATCTTTTGAAAGACTCATAATGTAAGAAAAATGTAACAAATTTTACGGTACCTACCTTAAACACACACGTTCAGAATAATTTACAAACACAATATTCCTGAATAGTTAACTTTCAAGGTGATAGATCAAACTTCAAACGATGCCTACTGTGTGACTATGATACCTTTTTCTCGATCTGAAGGAGAATTTATAGGAATTTCAGCACGATCAGAGGAAGTACCTACTGCGCATGCGGTGCAATCTCAGCGGAAGTACCTTCTGCGGATGCGGTGCAATATCAGCGGAAGTACCTACTGCGCATGCTGTGGTGAAACAGACTCCTCAGACAAAAAAAAAACAAAATAAAAAACAAAATTTTAATTTAATCAATTTATTTTTGGGTAATAGATGAAATATATAGGTAGTACACACTGTATTATATAACAAATAAATAATATTTTCCAAAAACAACCTTTGGTCCCTAAACAAGTCAAGTATATTTTTCAATTATTGGACTCTCGATAAGTCGGTTAATATTGGTATAAATAATTATTAAAAATAATATACAAAGTTATTAATAAAAATTGAGCTTTAAATTTAAGCAAAAATGACTACAACAGACACTATTTACAAGAATAACAAAATAAAATATATCAGGCACTAACATTTTTGAGGCCCCTTTTGCCGCCGAAATTTCTGATAGATTCTAGAAGCATATCTCTTGGATCCACATTATTGTTAATCATATTACTTTGGCTTGTTTTAATGATGATTTTGGGCATTTGAGGTGGCGGTGGAGGAGGTGGAGAAGCTACTTTAATTTTTGAGGCATAATTTGGTGGTAGAGAATTATACGAATCGTTATTTTCTATAATATTATGATTATTGCTAGCATAAATTTTACTAGAATCAGTTCGTCTTAATGTTAATTGTGAAAATGGTACATGCTGATTTGGCCCAACTGTTTTAGGCTTGCTTGGTAAAGTATTGTACGTTGTAGAAGGATTCCATGATAATCTATTATTAGTCTTAATATCATTATTGTTTTTAAACCCTCTTACAACAGGTTGTTGTTGATTATCTGCAGGCTTAAAGCTTCCAACTCTAAAAACTCTTTTATTCGGCTCACTATCCTGCTTCTCTATGCTTCTTAAGTTTTCAGTGCTTTTGAATGAATTAGAAAAGTAATGCAAGGAACGAAAATCGTCATTGCCTTGGTTCAAATGAGTTATCGATGTGTTTAGATCTTTGAAAGGCTTTTTGTATTCAACGGATCTTACAACTGGTACTCTGGAAATATCGAAATCTGTCGGTAAAGCTATCGAATGCGGTCTTGGATTGTTTTGGTTAACATTACCGAAAGGCTTCCTATAACCAATCGGTCCCAAATTTTTACTATAATTATTACTACTACCAATTTTAATGACAACATTGCCAGAATTCTGCGTTATCTGCTCCTGTTTCACCTCAACAGAATTATTACTAGTCACATTATTATTAGTAGTATTAACAATTAATTTAGACGAAACCTTGCCAAGCTTATAATCCTCATCCTCTTTCACAGCCACAGGGACTTTGGGCCTTTCAGACCACGTAGACATGTTGACAGCGGGAGGTCCTCTGTAGTAGTACTTTTTGATTGGTTCTGGTGACGGAATTTTTGAAGGTGGTTCTTGTGGCACTTGAGATTGAGCATCGGTTTTGGCGGTGTTAATGTCTTCTGCCGAGCCTGGCGGTGTATTTAATTTGTTTTGGATCAGTTTCATCACCTAGAAGTTGAGACATTTTAATTTTCAAATGGGTATGATCAAAGTAGGTAACTATTTTATGGAAACTATGGTTTCAATGAAGAAGCCTTGGAGATTACACTTGGTCTCTAGATTATTGTAGAATTTTGTGTAGAAGCCATAAAGAATGCAGTTGAAAAATCGAATATTGAGCTTATAACTCATAAAGAATCTACAAAAGGGTGTCCATAGATTATCAATGAAAATGTTGTAAAGCCAAAATGATTTTACCAAGTATCAAGATTATTGTTGAACCTATGAAATTTAATGTAGAAATTTAATTCACTAATGCTTCAATATTCAAAATAAAAATTCCACTGGCAAATTCAAAAGATGAACCTGCATAGGTCTAAATATGGACAGCCTTTCATACTAAACTTGATCTCTAGATTATTGAGCAAAATGTAAAATTAAATGTAGAAGGCTGGATTGTAGCAATCGGAAAATCTAATATTGAGCTATAACTCATAAGGAATCTACAGAAGAGTGTCCATAGATTATAAGCAAAAATGTGAAATTTGTTCTAAAACCAAAATGACTCTACCAAGTATAAAGATTATTGTTGAACCTATAAAATGTAATGTTATTCACTACTAGTAGGTATATTCAAAATTCAAAATAAATGTTCCACTGGCACATTCAAAAAGATGGACCTGGATAGAACTACTTTAAATACTAAGCAAATCTATAAAGATATCTCAGCTATCCAGTTCCCAGATGAAATTTAAAAAGAATCAATAATGATTATTGTGCAATCCCACCCCAAATCATGTTTTAGTTAAATCGCAAATAAATTCCTTACCTCTAAGCTCTGCAATCCAGACACATCAAAAAAGCTATTACTCCTAGATATATTGTTAGTCTCATCCCGTTTGCCCGGCTGGTATTTATTTAAAGTTAGTGTGGACTTGGACCTGGACACTGGTTTCGCTAACGTCCTGTCAGTGGAAAATGACTCCGATCTGGATACATTTGTCGAAGGCGGTTTCGGTTTGTAGAATTTATATTCTCTTTCTTCGGATTGTTTTTTGATAAACGCAATATTATCCATCGACTGATGATTGGGATTGTTACGCGATAATGTGTTGCTTCTAATTGTATCGTCTTCAAATACTTTGATGTTTTGCTTTGGAACGTCGTAGGTGGTGATTTTGAAGTTTGGAAGCGTCATATTGCTGGTCCTCACAGGTTTTTGTGGTTGCTTAGTTTGAAATTCGCCATTGTGATGATGATTTTTGTCAAGGGAACTTGCCGACTTATTACTATTTCCTATGCTATCAGTCATTTTAAGACTAGTTGCGAGCTCCCTATTGTAAACCAACGATTTTCTCTTTTCCAAATGTTCCAAGGACAATGTATTCAATGGCTCTTCACTTGCAATACTAGTCTCTTCACTTTTCAATGTATCAGCTTCCGAGTAATTGTCTTCCAAGGATTTTAGTTTTTCGAATAGTTCAGGAGAAGTCACCACGGAATCCTTGAAATCACTTACAATAGAATTCGTATCGTTGATTGAAGGACTAGAATCACGGAAAGCTTTTGGCGGCGATGGTAGTTGATATTGCCAATCTATTTCAGACAATTCAGGCTCAGGAATTTTTTGTGTGATTTCTTGAGTTGCAGTTGTTGATACTGGAGAAGCAGGTGATGTACTTATTTCAGTAAATGAAGCAGAAGTTTTTAATTCTCTTTCAGGTGTTGTCTCTTTGAAAACTGGATGAGGAGCAGCAATTGTAGGTGTAACTACTTTTGCAGTTATTGTAGGTGTAACTACTTTTGCAGTTATTGTAGTTGTTGCAGGTGTATTTACTTCATTTACTGAAGCACGAGTAGCTGCTGTCGATACAGAAATAGCTTCAATAGTTTCTTCAACTATCAACGAAGAAAATTCTTCAGGAGCTTCAATTTCTTTTGGTGAAGCTTTGTCTAATAATTGATCACTTGTAGGTTCTTTATTACTTGCTTCACTAAAAATATCTGGTGGTGGCGGTGGCGTGCAGAATTCAAAATCTTCTTCGATGTCCTTTTCCTTGTCAGCAGCAATTCCACTGTCAGTTGAATCAGCAATGGGTGGACTGTCCAAGGGACAAGGGGGTATACTATCAAGGGGATTAGACGAGGAAGTTATCGATTCTGAAAAATAAATAGGTCATATTTGTAGACAACATTTTTAGTTAACAGGTTTTTTCTTGAACTGTTAATATAGTTTTTAGTGACAAATGTAGAATAAGTTTTAATGAGGAGATGGTGATAAAAAAATCTACAGTGGTTTATTTTAAAGTGGTAGAGTTTTTACAAAATTTTAGTTGTCTATATCAGCAGGCTCGGAGACGAAGAACAATAACAATGTTAGAGAACGCCTGCCTGAGAGTTGCCAGGCACAAAACTGGATCCTCCTGAACAAAGATCTGCTGATCAAACCTTGGACACACTAATCAGTAATCATAGTTGCCAGATATCATAGATAGTCTGCACTTAAAGAGCTCTGAGCTCCTTTCTTAATATATCCAGCAACTTTTATTGCTAAAATTTGTTCTTAATATATCCAGCTTCTGGACTAGTATAGAGTTGCCAGATACAGAACTGGATCTTCTGAGCAAGGATCTGCTGATCAAACCCTGGACACACTAATCAGCAATCATAGCTGCCAGATATAATAGATAGTCTGCACTTAAGGAACTCTGAGCTCCTTTCTTATATCCAGCAACTTTTATTGCTAAAATTTGTTCTGCCAGGGCCTTTTGATCCAATTCTGAACAAGTATAGAGTTGCCAGATACAGAACTGGGTCCTTCTGAAAAAGGATCTTCTGATCAAAGCCTGAACACACTAATCAGCAATCATTCATACATTCTTTCAGGATCCAGATACTTGTTGGGAAGCGAAATCAAGCTAAATATACAAATTGTCAAATATAGATAACATGAAGCTTTATATTACAAAGGATCACGCACAAATTATATTGAAAAGTGGTTTCGGTGAAATTGCTTGAATTTTTGATATGTTGTACCTCTAACCCTCTTGTTTGATTCTCCAAAAAAAAAAAATAGGGGGGGTCGATTGGATGGTTTCGCCGCTACAGGGAAAAAAAAGTCGAGCGAGCAAGTAAAAAAAAATAACTCGCACCGTATTGCAAGGCAATAATTTAGGTTGTACCGGTTATAGGTAATATTATAATAATAGACGAGGTACATTATTAAAACACGTACAGGTATAATCCAATATATAGGTGTCAGTATTTAAGACGTTGCCAGTTTTGCCACTTCTCACTCCGTTTTCCTCAAATAACGTCTCCGAGAAAAACCGTATATTTTTTGAACGATTTTTTTGGGGTTCTTTGAAGAGTCTTCTACGGCCCTACATCGTAGTGTGGAGAGCTTTTTCGCCATTTTGGATTCACCCAGTATAATATTGTCAACTACTTAAGTAAATACCACTCAGTCAGCATTTATTTGGTATAAATACAGCGCCGGAATCCATTACCGGCAGACTAAGGCTAGTGCGAACTACCTCTAATGGGAAAAGCCCTTCTAGCTAAGTCTCCTCCCAGTGCAAACTACCTTTAATGGGAAACGCCCCTCTGGGAGTATTGAACGCAGCAGACTAGGTCCAGTGCAAACTACCTGTAATGGGAAACGCCCTTCTGGATCTGTCTCAAACCTAGTTTCAGTCTTCAGTCACGCCAAGTGTACAGAGGGTACATAATTAATACAGTACGTCCCTCCGTAGAAGAGACGTCATGATACCATTTCTAGGGTAATAACTATTATTAATCAATACACATCTTATTATACCTATACCAAGCGAGTTTCTCTCTACCTGAACCCCACCTACGGCCCCAAGTCACGCTCCTGTTGTGACGTCCCAGGACGAAACGTATAGGTGTTATGACAATACATAAGTTGTTCCATTATTTGAACTAACTATCGCAAAACTGAACATACTGCTATAGTGACTAGTCTATAATAACTGGAACATCATCATAGGGATTTTGGTGTCTATTTGCGGCATCACCAATATTAAGTAACTTAACTGAGGGATATTTTATATTATTTTAAAATCTTGAGTATCCCAGAAACTATAGGACACTGGCTCAATCTATTCTTGCTCCTGGATTTGCAGGTGCAGTAATATCCAGTTATTGGCGCTAGCTTTAACTGGTACGTTCCAATTTATGAGGTCCCTGGGGATATTCTAAAGTTAGACGCGAGAAACCAGGAATATGATTATTCTCTAAACTGACAAATCATCGTTAATTTCACAAAGTGACGTATCTCAAATCAGGGTTTTTTTGAGATACTACGCCACTTTGTGAAATTAACGACGAAATTTACCATGCCTCCGAAGTAAATTTTCGTTTTCAACGGTAACTTTCAACCTGTTTTTTTCTCTTGCTCTTTGTAATCAGTGGCGTATTTACGATTTTCATCTGGAGGGGAACCCAACGTAACAATAAAAACAAATAAAATTAATTATCTTTCTTTAGTGGCGGGGTCAAGATTCCTAAAGTTAATAGGTTGTCTGGTAATGGGTAACTTGATGACGCATCTGGGGTGTCTTATGGAGATTTGCATTATGTTGAGGCACCCCAGAGATGACGTCACCGAGTTATCCAGGCAACCCAGGGATGATACACATTATTTACTACTACAGAATAGCCTATCCTCATAAAGCCTGTGTGGAACAAATCCCCCCTCACCAAATCACCATTCATGACGTAGGCAGCATGTTATTTCTCGCCTTGACATAGCCTGTTTAAACAGCTGACGACTTAGTTATGACGTCGGAAATGGTGACACACCAATATGGCGGCGATTACCAAAAACGATGCCGATAAGCAATCCTGTAGGTGTGTATCATCCTTACAGGCAACCTACCTCCGACGAAAGTGACGACATCAATGTGACGGATCGAATGTATTGATCCCCCTGTGTCTCTCTCTCTCACTCCTATTCCCTTTCTTTCATCAGACATTTCTGTCTCTGTTTTATCCTGGATTGCGTTCAAAATCACCCTGGCACACCAGGGTTGCGTTCCAGAACACAGCGTGCGAAAAAGTTTTTCACACGCATTTCAGCGTGCGAAAAAGTTTTTCACACGCATTTTAGCGTGCGAAAAAGTTTTTCACACGCTCCTCAGCGTGCGAAAAAGTTTTTCACACGCTCCTCAGTGTGCGAAAAAGTTTTTCACACGCTTCGAGTTTTCTAACAAATGAAAATTACATATTTGGTTGTTTTATTTTGCAGTTGTAGGAAAAGCATTGTAAAAAACTCGTTTGAAAACCTTTTTTCACACTTGCTCGACTTGTGGAACTCGCCTACGGCTCGGTCCAACAAACTGTCTCGCCGTGCGAAAAAAGTCGTTTTCAAAACTTGTTGTTTGACCTTGCGTTCGGTATTTTGCTCGAAGAGCAGAGCGTGCAGAGCGGAGCCGTAACCACGTGACCAGCGAGCGAACAGAGCAGTTGAACGCTGTATAAAAGTGCCAGAAATTTTAATAAACGAACGCGAATGAGGATACACCGAGTACACTTTTTGAATAAACGAACGGTTAAGTCAAGCTCGGAGAACTCAGACCAAAATAACGAACGCACGGTAAATAACTATTATGTCATACCAGTTGGTTGTGAACAATGAACTATAACCAAAAACTGGAATGCTAACACATAAGGACGAACTTGAAGCCTAGTGCGGCTGCTGCGGAGGGGATACCTGTTTTTGTCGCACTCATTATGTTAAATGGCGAAAATTGCTTCCAACACGTATTCCAATTGATGAAACCTGTGAAGGGAAATATGACAAAACTTTCGAAACCGTCATATGTCAGCGAGCAACAGAAAAAAACAACATTCCCCCTTGTGGCATCTGTCTTTCATGGCTTCATTTTTTTGGCAGATATGGCAATGTGTGCGCATTCCAGTTTTTAGTTATAGTTCATTGGTTGTGAATAATAAATACCTGGAAAAAAGTGTCACTTCGCAAATTGTCATCAGTGTGCAGAATCATCATGTTTTGACAAAAATAATATTTTCATAAGCGTAAATTTATATTTTGTTGAGTTGTGTTATGAGTATTGAATTATGTAGATGGTATCTAAGGTATAAAAACACAATAATGTATTGGTATAGGTTTTTTTACGTTATATTTAGGATGACGTCAGAGAACAAGGACTGACAATGTTGTCAATGCCTATTTGTTTTCTTATAATTTACTAGAATGTCATAATGAATGTGTAATGAATTATCAAGACCAGTGACAGCTAAAAATAACGAAATGAATCGACACGCGTTATTTATTTGGAAATGTTCATTTAAATCATGCAACATCACGCGCCGTTGCCAACCAGAAACATCTGAAATTCCCCTACTTTAAATGCGTTAAGAAGTACTTTTAGTTTTGTTAGATTTGCAGCAGAAATTTACTAAATGTGACGTCATCCTAAATATAGCGTGAAAATCCAATATGACATAAAATACATTTTGGGGTGGGGGGGCCCGGGCCCCCTGAGCCCCCCCGTGAATACGCCACTGTTTGTAATAACTAATAACATTTCAGCCTGGGCAATATAAACTAAAGTAGATTTTAATAAATATAAGGCATAGTTTTGTTTGATATTGTCCATGATCGTTATATTAATTCAATGATGATGAAAATAATTAAATTATTAGGGATATTTATTATATTATTATTATTACTGAATTCAATAAAAATTTGAAAAGAAAAAACACTACTTTTCACTTAGCCCATTGTTATTGTTTAATCTTTTCACTAGATGGCGTCACATGTCAAACGTAATAAAAGTTCAGGTGTAGTATAGTTTCCTTCTAAAACTGTCTTAGATTTTCCAGTATTTCCTATATTTTAGAGCACAAACTCAATTATCTAAATAATAAATTCTGTTTATTTAAAATATGGCAAAAAAATAATAAATTATTGAGATGAAAATATGAAAACAATTTAATTTTTACTAATGAAGCGCCACCTGTGACAAAAGCTAGTTGTGTGCGTCCGCCATCTTAGAAACAGCTCCCTGTAAAGGGATCCCGGTTTTCCACTCGATTTTCCGGCAAAAAGTAGATTTTAGTGTGTGAAAACTGTTAAAATGGTTTAAAGGAAAGTTTAGCTCCGATTTCGTATAGTTAGTAGCCCGGTAAATGTTCTAATTTGTTTCAAATTTGTATGTAAAAATTTTCGGTTTTCTTGACATCATGGAGGCATCCGGTTATGTTCGAAACACGTCGTTTCTGTGAAAAAATCTCGATTTTCCAGGAAAAAATCGTTTTTAGTGTGTGAAAAGTGTTGAAAGAGTGAAAGTAAAAGTTTAGCTTCAATTTGATCCTGATTGCTTTTGGGGTAAGTGATAAGTGATTTAGTTATTTTTAAATTTGTATTTAAGTTTCCGTTTTTTTGACATAGCGGCTTTTGTGGATCACCATTTTGATCATTTTGTATTTCTGTGGTAGTAGTGTAACGACCCAGCAACTCTTGAAATAGTAGTATTCCTAATCAGTGCACAAAGTTTTTCCGCCCTTCAAGAAACCCCAGAAAAATAGTTAAAAAATATGCAGTTATTTACAATTCAAGCAATTTCACAAAAACTACTTTTCAATGTAATTTGTGCGTGTTCCTTTTGGCAACTCTAAACATGCTTTGATACATTTTGATCTCCGAACAAAGATTCACTCTAAAAATAACCACTTATTCCATCACCTCAAAGTTTTCATATAAGATTATCCCTAACTATGAAGAAAAATACAGAAAATCAACATGCCTGTATCAGATGCCTCACCAGCCACCCATCTATTTCTAACTCCACAAGAACTAACAGAAATACTATCTAATTCCTCGTGGTTATTCCATTTTCGCATTCCAGCGCCATTGAATCCTCCTAAAATGCTTGCCGAAGACACGCTTCTGTGGTAATTAAAAGCTTCTGAACTTCTAGTAAACATGCCTTCGTCTAAATCAGAAATTTCTTCTTGGTTGGGTGGTGTTTTTGGAATCACTCCTACTACTGCAGGGGGCTTGGAGTCTTTTAAAAACTCGTCTGAATTGAATATGTTGTTGACCAAGGATTTTTGAAGATTTGATATAGTGGTTTTGGGCGAGTTCATTATAAACGGCTTAACGGCTTCCAAGCTCGTCAGGATGTCTTCCATTGAATAATCATTATCAGGAGTCTTGATTAATTTCTCATCACAAACAACTTCATTTACGATACGTTTATTCAATTCATGTTTTTCAATATCAACTAATCCAAGTTTTTCTTCAATTTCTTCAATAATAACATCTTCATCGTAACTATTGCTAGAAATAGTTTTAGATACTTTGCTTCTTGGTTTGGGTATTGGCGCAGGGTTAGTTTCCAGCACCTCAGGAAATTCTAGCATGCAAAATACAATATTAGAGTGCAATTTTATTGTAGTGCAAAAGCGATTATAGCATATGTATAAGCAAAGAAAAGACGGCTTAAATAAATTCAGTAGTTTTAGTAACAATAATTTGGTCCAATTTTGAAATAAATTGCTTCCAGTTTTCATCTTCAGGCTTTCGGGTGGAAACTTGTTTAGGTTTTTTTGTTAAAGCATTTAAACGTGACATGCTACCAGCATAGGTGTCTTTAATTTGCTTTTTCAACGAAGGCTCAGGGCTCTTTTCGAATTTTCTAGAAGATCCGAAACGTTTACGGGCTCCTTGAGACGGCGATATTCTATAGGCTTCAAGAATTGGTGGGCGAAAACCTGGATTTTCGATTCTTCCAGTACTGAAACTTGTATTGTTTGTTATTAGAATTTGTCTGCTTTTTGAAGCTCTTTCTGTACTGGGTTCTGATAGGGTTTTTGTTATAATGATTTTATTGCAATTATTATCATTGTCCAAAGGGATATTGTCAACTGGATTCATATTTGAATCATTCATCTCCAGCACAGATAAATTCTCTTTGGATTTTCTGATGTCTTCAGTTCCATTAATTTCCAAACTGGAATGTGGAAGCTCTTCATCGTCTGAATTCAAGTTAAGCATTGAAAGGGCAAAGCTTCTCCGATTTAAATAAGCACCTTCTCTTGCTCTTGTATATTTGTGGCTCACTGAATCTTCAATTTCTTTGTTGTTAATTTCAGATTCAATCGAAGGTCGATCAATTACAGCAATACGTTTTAAGGTATCAGAATCTATAGATTTGCTTTCGGTTAATGGAGTGTTAATTTCCAAATTTGAATTATCATCCATTGATATGCTTTCGACGTATAAAACGCATTCTTTTTCAAAACTAGTAATAGGTTCAGGTTCTTCAATGATAGAACTTTTTTCATCGATATTGATTTCCTGTGCCACTATTGTTAAAGTTTCTGAGCCTCTTCTCAAGTCTTCTTCTGCATAAATTTTGCCCAAAGTTGTAGCCTTTGAAGGTGAATAATAAACTGGAGCAATAGGTTTACTACCGCTAAGAGCGTTCCTAAGTTTTTGAATAGTTTTGCTGAAATTCAAAAATAAGCCGTCTTTTCTGAGTTTTAAAGGTTTAGTGGAAACTACTAGAGGCATGCGTGTGTTAGCGTGTCCGAGCAAATTTCGTGTGCCAAGCTTACCGTGGGCGATTGGAGATTGACTAGCAACTAAGGGACTGGAGGGTTTTTCTGATTCGGGTGCGACTACTGGACTTTCTGGAGACGCTGCTACTGGGGGCGGAGGAGGTGCTGCTTTCTTTTTTCGACCTGAAAATGAAAATAATAATGTATGAAAATCCAGCACATAAAATTTGTTGTCAGAAAAAGGTTTTAGCTTGGCCTATATTTCAATTATAGTATCAATATAAAAATAAGTCACATGAGAACTCCAAGCAGGTAGGGCAGGAAAATTTAAACTGCCTTATTCAGAACTAGAAGAAGGCGCCCTCGATGAAAGTGTATATCGATACGAATATAGTTATCAAGGTAATCATTCGACACTTCCTATATGAATATCATTAACCCACGCTAAAATTTGATGTTGTTAAGCCATTTTAATTAAATTCCAGACATTTCTGACATCGCAACATCATAAATAATTGCCCATATCTTGAAAAAACTTTTGAGCAAATTGAGTTATTTTATGTATCATTGAAAAAAACATTAAATTTTCTTTTAATCTTTCCAAATTTGTTCCAGTAGCTCATGGGCTTCTTGAGCTATTGAGCTTGAAATTTAATTTTTAGTCGGATTTTTGTCCAAAACTTCAAACTCGATTTTCTCAAAAACTATAAATGTTAGAGTTTTCAGCTGAATACCATCTGAGAGTTCTTATCAAGAGCTACAATTCCTACAAATTTTGTTTCAGTACCGCTTTTTGTTACCGAGATATTCAGGTTTGAACATTTGGAAATAGAAATCCAAAGGGCACTCTACTGAAAACTGGAAAAAAAGTTGATAACGAGCCAGAGGAATAACCAATGAACAAAAATTTTGTCCTTACCCCTTTTTCACAGACACAAGACACTATCAAAATGCTCTCACATTTAATAAAGAAATGAATATTTTCACTTTTCACAACAGAATTTTTGTTTAATTTTTATAGCCCATTTTACGACCTCTCCTAGTGAAAGTCCCTAATGAGAAAATAGCAAAAATTAAATTTCAATAGTTAAATTATGCCAACAGAGGTTCTAGCATACAACCCAGTGTCTATGCCGAACCACAAGTGAATCCGTATGAACCAGTTTTTCGAGAGACAAAACCAAAACCTACACTTTCTACCCACACGCTGGAATTCTCTTATTTTTTTTTTTTATAACTTAATTGGCATTATAAATTGATACCGAAACTATGTAATTACGCTTTTATCGACAAATAGCATTCATCAATTTTGTGTCGTTTTTCTATACTGATAATAATGACTTTGTGCTACAAAACAGGCCAGGTCTTGGTTAATTTTGCTATATGAAAAAACAAGATTATCAATTACAAATCTGGTTTGATTGAGGAATCTTGATTGCCTACGTGAAAATCTTGAAACTAATTAGCACGTCATCATGTTGTTGTTGCAAGAAATACTGATTTTATAGAAAAATAATGACTCTGCTTCACCCACAAGTTGTTCTTATTACAATTAAGTTTAAGGATTTCCATCAAACTTATTGGAGAAAAATTCTTACCTGCAACTAAGCTAGTCATAGACCTAGAGTGAGCGGTCATTTTGGTCAAATTCGAGCTGCTCTGTAGAACGGGTAGATCGCCGACGAAAGCAGATTTCGGTCTAGCTCTGGGTAGCGAAGCGTTTGCGCAGTGGTCGCTCAAAATGGACGCCTCGTGGTAACCGGAACTATCGCTGCCATTCCTCGAATGGCAGATAGTCAGACCGTTCTCGATGGTTTTCTTTGACAGAGCAACTTCGTTGGAAATCACTAGAAATAATAATATGTCGATTAATTGGGATTATAATTCTGGTTTTTGATCAGTGGATTGCTATCACCTTTTATATCAACGTACTGAAGATTATCATGAGAATATGAATGCCGATGTGTTTGAGGAATAGTTTGAGCAAATTATAAAACTTATTCCAAAAGGTTCAGTGGATAATGCCAGCTATAATTCCATAGAGGTAGAAAAAACTTCAATAACATAATAGCGCAAAGAGAAAAATACAAGATTGACTATTGGAAAAAATATACCTTTTGAAGAAAATTTTTTTTCACAGATGCGTTTCGAGGTCTCATCACTATAGCTAGGAAAGAAAAGAAAACCAAGAGATGGATGCATTGCAGAAAAAGGTCTATAAATCTAGCAGTCCCAAGGTGGAAAAAAATTTCGGGAACTATATCATAATTAGGTGCTTTTTAGGTGCTAATTAGGGCCTCTAATTAAAAATTAGGTGCTCCTCTAGTTTTTGAGAAAATCAAAAAAAATTGAGGGATTGCTAGGTTTATGAAAGCTAGTAGTCCCCTATAGTGAAAAATATTTTTTTCAAATTTCTTCTGTGTATCAGAATTAGGTGCTTTTTAGGTGCTCCTAAATAGTCCAAGAAAAAATAGAATTGATTAATTATTAACTGAGTTACAGATTTTTTTTTAATTATTAGGGGACTGCTAGCTTTACGTCTACTTGTTGGTGTGTTAGAATGGCAAAAAAACTTCGGGATCTATATAATAATTAGGTGCTTTTTAGGTGCTAATTAGGTTTATGAAAGCTAGTAGTCCCCTATAGTGAAAAATATTTTTCCAAAAATTTCTTTTGTATCAGAATTAGGTGCTATTTAAGTGCTCCTAAATAGTCGAAGAAAAACTTGAATCAGTTACTTATTGACTGAATAACAGATTTTTTTCATTATTAGGAAATTGTTGGCTTCACTTTAACTTGGTGATGTGTCAGAATAGAAAAAAATAATTTGGGGTCTATATAATAATAATAATAATTAGGGGCTTTTTAGGTGCTAATTAGGGCTACTAATTAAAAATTAGGTGCTCCTTTAGTTTTTGAGATAATCAAAAAAAAAAAAAAACAAAGGAACTGCTAGGTTAATGGAAACTAACAGTCCCTACTAATTGAACATCGAACAACTAAATTTCAGGGTTCATTTAGTTATAGTGCTGTGAAAGTATATAATGCGCTGCCTGCCGGTGTAAAATCCCTCTCCTCTTTCGCCGGTTTCAGAAAAGCCGTCAAACTGTTTACTTTAAATCAAAGAAATTAATTTTGTTTACCGTCATTCGACTGATTTATTTTATTTTGTTGTTTTTTTTAATTATTTTATTTTATTTTTTTGTGTGGATTGTACCTATATCTCGTAAACTTAAGTCTTAAGTATATAGTTTGAACATTATTGTTGTATCTATTCATCTACTTGGTTGGGTTAAAATAGTAATATAGATAGTTTTTAAGAACAAAGAAGGTTAGATGGAGTAGCATGAGCTAGATCTCGCCGTCTGTTATCAATGTTTTAGTCCGGGGGCCGAGGACCTTTTTTCCAAATCATTAATAACAAGCTAGTTTTTTCAATGCAGCTTCATTTCACCGAGACGCCCAACTTTTTTCTCTTCGAAAATTGCGAAAACAGGTAGCTAACATACTGCGCAGGTGTAAAACATGTCGATTTGGTGACTATGAAAATTTAATTAATAACAGTTAGTTTTTCAGCTAAATGTTGAGATAATTTTATGAATAATTTGAAACAACATTTGTCCGACAAAATAAAGGGTTTGGTCTACGATGTCCCCCCCTCAAACATGTAGCAATTACGTTGCATAAAAAATGATTAATAACAAGTTGATTTTTTCAATGTAGGTTGGTAAATATTATTACAATTAAATGGTCACACTGTCCTACAAATAAACAGGTAGCTATTTTCAGTCCTACACTCAAAAGTTGTTGATTTCACGATTTAACTTTTTTCATTAATAACCGGCTAAATCTTCGTGAGTACCTTCATTTTGATAAGACGCCCAAATTTTCTGTTGCGAAAATTCCAAAAACAGGTAGCTAACAGAGTGCGCAGGTGGAAAACATGTCTATTTGGTGATCATACAAATGTAAATAATAACAGTTAGTTTTGTAATTGAATGTTGAGATAGTTTCATAAATAATATGAAACAACATTTGTCCGACAAAATAAATGGTTTGATCTAGGCTGTCTCCCTTCTCAAACATGTAGCAGATACGTTACATAAAAAATGATTTATAACCAGTTGATTTTTTTAATGTAGCTTAGTAAATATTACTACAATTAAATGGTTACACTGTCCTACAAATAAAGAGGTACATTTCTCCAGTCCTACACTCAAAAGTTGTCGACTTCACGGTAATACTTTATTCATCAATCACCGGACACCGGTTTAATCTTCTCGAGCAACTTCGTATTGATAATACGCCTAACTTTTCTATTGCGAAAAGTTGCAAAAGTAGTATAGCTACTAGAGTGAGCACTAGTGAGCACATAGCACATGTAAAATACCTTGATTAGGTGATTATGCAAATGTAATTATTAATAGTTAACAGTTAATTTTTCAGGTGAATAATGAGATAATTTTATAAATAATTCGAAATTCGATTTGAGCCACAAAATAAATGGTTTGGTCTGCAGTGTCCCCTTTCTCAAAAATGTAGCAATTACTGGCTCATAAAAAACGATTTATAACCAGTTGATTTTATTACTGTAGTTTGGTAAATATAACTACAATTGAATGGTCACATTGTCCTAAAGAGGTAAGATTTCGCAGCCCTACATTCGAGAATTTCGAAAATAGCCTTATGCATATTATACGTAAATATGTAGAGGGCTTTCATTTCAAATCTTACCACCCACGTTATCTGCGTAAAGAGACAGATTTCTGGAAAAAAAGATTAAATTCAAGAATTTAGCTGAAAAACTAACTGTTATTAATTAAATTTTGATAGTCACCAAATCGACATATTTTACACCTGCGCAGTATGTTAGCTACCTGTTTTCGCAATTTTCGAAGAGAAAAAAGTTGGGCGTCTCGGTGAAATGAAGCTGCATTGAAAAAACTAGCTTGTTATTAATGATTTGGAAAAAAGGTCCTCGGCCCCCGGACTATTTTATAAACTATATTTTTGGTGAAATAAAAGGCATTTATTATTATTATTATTTTTAAAAAAAATCTGTAACTCAGCTAATATTTAATCAATTCTATTTTTCTTCGACTATTTCGGAGCACCTAAAAAGCACCTAAATCTGATACAAAAGAAAAATTTAAAAAAATATTCTTTATTATAGGGGACAGCTAGCTTTCATAAACCTAGCAGTCCCTTAGTTTTTTGTTTGATTTCCTCAAAAACTAAAGGAGCACCTAATTTTTGATTACAGGCCCTGATAAGCACCTAAAAAGCACCTATTCATTATAAAGATTTCGAAGTTTTTTTCCATTCTGACACACCAAAATGTAAACGTAAAGCCAGCAGTCCCCTAATAATAAAAAAAAAATCTGTAACTCAGTTAATAATTAATCAATTCTATTTTTTCTTGGACTATTTAGGAGCACCTAAAAAGCACCTAATTCTGATACAAAAGAAAATTTTAGAAAAAATATTTTTCACTATAGAGGACTACTAGCTTTCATAAACCTAGCAATCCCTTAGTTATTTTTTGATTTCCTCAAAAACTAGAGGAGCACCTAATTTTTAATAAGAGGTCCTAATTAGCACCTAAAAAGCACCTAATTATTATATAGATCCCGAAGTTTTTTTTGCCATTCTAACACACAAACAAGTAGACGTAAAGCCAGCAGTCCCCTAATAATTAAAAAAAAAAATCTGTAACTCAGTTAATAATTAGAGAATTATGGCACCTTCAAATAGTGACGGTCACTAATATAAAAGTATATTATATACCTAGGTAGAGAAGTTGGTCCTTATATACCGAGCGCTTTTATAAACCGAGGCGCTCGCGCCGAGGTTTATAATGAGTGAGGTATATAATGACTTTCTCTACCGAGGAATATATAGAATTTTTTTTACTACTGCTAGTAGAAAATGAAAAATTTGTTTAAAATCTGTGCTCCAATTATTTTTTTTGAACGCCCTCTTGAAAGTGCTGCCCTCTATCAACAGCTTATGATAACTTCCTATGTACCTACAGAAACCTGTATTTTTTTTCAAATTGACGTATGGAAATGAAATTGAACCAATAGAAACATGACAATATCCTTGCGTCATGACGTCATTTTCATTATTAACCTAGGTATTTTTTCATTATTTTCATTATTCACCTAGGGAGAGAAATTCAATTTTTTCCTAGAAAAATAGATTGAATAATGACAATTTCCCAGGTTAGTAGTAAAAAAACGTTCTTATTTTGACATTATTGACACCTACGCATGCGTATTTGTGACTAAAAATAGTGGTGGTCAGTAATAAAATAAGGATCATCCTTATTTGTGATTGGATAGTGAAAGGCAGTATTTATTCCACTATTTTTTGAGACATGCGCAAATGTCAGTTGCCAAGAATTTTTCAGATTCTAACCTCACATAATCTGTTTATATTTTTTGTTTGTGTTTTGTGAATGGATAAAACCGAAAAACATCATTTGCACCCCCCAGAATGGCAGCTTCTAACATTTCTTCCATTACAATGGACCTTTCTCATGCAATGAATAACAAGGATGGTTTATTAAAATTTCTGTAATAAAGAAAGAGACACATATAATGACGCGCGATACCTGTGTGGAATGACTTTGATTGGTTCCACTTGTCAAACTGTGCAATTTTGGTTATGTTTCTATTTTTGTTTATTTTTAAACGTAAATATGACAAATATGTGGCAGAAAAGTTTAGAAAAATTTGAGAAGTAGGAATTTGCAAGCCTTTAATTGTACAATAATTATTATTGTATTTGATATAGAAATCTTTATTTTCCGAACCCTTAAATCGCTGTTCCAACTTAATCGTCTTCAGTCAGGTTGAGAGCACGTAACCATTGTTTTCTTACAATTTGATTACTTGGGAACTTGTGAAAAGAAAGGTTTGACTACTTCTTCGCCTTACTTTGACAGGATCTCACACAGCACATTTGAACCATTGTATAATTAACAGTTTTTGTAATAATTTTCAGCAATATTGATTGATTATTGAGGTATTGAGGTTAACTTTAAAAACGTCGGGGTCAGACCGCGTTCCCGCGTTCATTCAATTGACAATTTTATTATCTGTCACCCACAAGCTGCGCGCGCAACACAGGTAAAATGAGAAAGGTCCATTGAGTAAACAACGCGACACTGACGCAAAAAAATTGTCAAAATAGTGGACATTTAACATGATATGTCATAATTCTTTTTATTTACGACTGACATATAATGTAAGTATTATATTTGTGATTTTGGCAGTTTAATGACATCTATTATTCCCGCAGGGATTAATGGTCATTAATCCCGCTTGCACACCAATCACAAAATTTTTCAAATTAAATAAGTAGGTAGTACCATGGAAACAGTATAGAACAAATTCACTGTCAGTGTCAAACGCGTAGTGCTTGTGTATTTGTATTGAGATGGATGAACAAAGAGCGTTTTTGGAAAGAAAATTTCAAATAAATTAATTTGTAGTAAATAAAGTAGAGTATACTACTCGCAATAATGGCTATTATTCCCTCGGAATGTTACTCCCTCGCCGCTAACGCGGCTCAGTTCGTAAATATACCTCGGGAATAATAGCTATCATTATTGACTCGTGGTATAATCTACTATAATTCATAAGAAATAGTGACTGTCAGTAATTAAATAAGGCCGATCAGTAATAAAATCGATCACTATTTGGGAAGTGCCATAATTCTCTATTAATCAATTTTCTTTTTTCTTCGACTATTTAGGAGCACCTAAAAAGCAACTAATGCTGATACAAAGAAGAAATTTGAAAAAAAAAAAATTTTACTATAGGGGACTGCTAGCTTTTATAAACTTAGCAGTCCCTTAGTTTTTTTTTGATTTTCTCAAAAACTAAAGGAGCACCTAATTTTTAATTAGAGGCCCTAATTAGCACCTAAAAAGCACCTAATTATTATATAGTTCCCGAAGTTTTTTTCCACCTTGGGACTGCTAGGTTTATAGCAGAAAATATGGTGAAGAAAGAATTGCTTGCATTAGCAAAGCCACACAGGTCCAGATATTCTAATTTTATCATAGACAAAATGACTAAAATTTTTTTTAATTATTCCCGGCTCTTGAATTGACGAAGTGCTGGAAATTAATTTTTTTATGTAGGTACCTATGTTAAGAAAAAAAAAACATTGAATTTTTTGAATAAATCTACCAGTGTCCCTATTCTTGAGTTCCAGGGAGTGGAAACTACGAGAGAAAGTAGGCGTGATTCCCAAAAATGTGAAATGACACCAACCCTGCGTTTTTATCCTCATCAAATTTTACCGATGGATCCACCATTCTATTATTATTGTCATTTTGCATTCACTAAACAAAGATAGCTAACTTATCGGTGAAGTCACCGATGAGAATAAAAACGAGGGGTATCATTCTTGAAATATTTTGATGGAAAATTCTGGGAATTTTATTCCCCCAAATTCTATTAAAGTCTGTTTTTTTTTTAAAGATAATTCCCCAAGTTAAAAATTTAGTAACTATGTTGGCAGCACAAGCCTTTTCTACATAACAAATTTGAAAGCATTGACAATTTTACATTGTATTGCCAACATAATGTCAGTTTGACTTTTATCTTATTTAAAAAAAAAACAGATTTTAGTCATAAGTGAGAGAAATTTGACAGGGAGTGGAATTTGGTAATATAAACTTGTCAATCTAGTTTTTCAAAATTTGTTGTTGTTTGTTTTCCAAATTCCGTTGTATCGTGACTGCGACCACAGGGATTGACACCAAGCCCAAGGTTCCTAAAGGTTGTCTGGTAGTGGGTATCTGGAGTGCCTTATGGAGATTTGCATTATGTTTAGACATACAGATGACGTTATAAAAGTTAGCAGGCAACCAACCTCTCTCAAACAACCTTGTACCAATTCTTTGTAAATGTAGGGGTAAATTTTCCGGAATACATATTATGTTCTTGTGGATGAAAAGTCCAACAGCATTTCTCTCTGGTGTTTGCTAATTTTCTTTTGTTATTGAAAATTGTAATTTAATGGAGATAAAAATAAGGTCCCTATGAAAAAACAAAACAAAAAGTACAATCACATGGAAGAATTGAATTAACTGAAAGCAGGGATTTGGAAGACGAAAAACAGTATTGTTTTAATAGAGGTATGTATACCTACCTATAATACGTCTGTCAGAAATTTCCAAGCTGCAATTGGACAGAATTGGGACTCAACACTTGGCAACTATGGACATATTTTCACTACCTCCCAGGTACTCGCTCCTTTCAAGAATAGTATTTTTAAAACCGAGAGAATAATTAAATTTGGGAGTACAAAATGATGGCAGGTGTTCAGGATGCACTATTGGTTTCAAGAATAGGGGCACTGGATGAAGAAATTGTGTATCATCTTGCAACACTGCCTAATGACTAGAAAATTCGAGCGGAAATTAGACAATTTTAGAAGCAACGAATTACTATAAAAAGGAGTCGAGAAAGGTCAGGGATAAATAACATCTAAAAAAAAAATACCTGAAGAACTCTTTTCGTCTTCGTGCTCGTTCGTGCCTGCTTCGCCGATTCGAATTTGAGGCGGTTTCGGTGCCGGACGGCGTTTCCTTTGAGGCGGTTTCGGTCGTTCGGGCGGCGGATCTTTCTTTGGCGGCGCGACGATCGGCGGCGCCTGAACCGCCGGCGGCGTCACCGATCTCGAATCGTCGCTGTGCGTCGGCGAAATCGAACGGTTGTCGCTCGACACCGACCCGGAACCCATACTCTGAGGAAAGTTTCAATTTAAGTTTGAACAATTTATTGAAGATATTTCTTACCGATTTTCCTCTTTTGAAAATAAGATTGAAAACACCTCCGCCAGTCTTGTTGTGCATCTGTTTGCGTTCCTCCTCTTTCCTAAGGACCATTATATCGGCGGCGGAAAAGGCCTGATTCAGGTTTGTGGTTCCTTTGGCTACCACGTAGATTTCAGTGATCTGGTAGTCACTCAGAGTGAGTTTCGGGTCTAAGACTTCGTCTAGATTTCCTGCACAACAAAATGAAAAACAAATATTCAGCAGGATATTTTTATCAAAGCGTTTTATTAATTTAGAATGACACACTCAATTTTATCGATAAGCTATTGGAATTTTAGATTGTAAACCTATTGTGAAATATGCCTTGATAATTTTATTATTCATGATTGTGTTCAAATATAATGGTATAATACGACTTACAGGAAATTAAACTAACGCACTAATTGGTTATCTTGACTAGACATTTGGCAAAAAATTTGAACTTTATGCAAAACATCAGCCTTATTATTCCTAAGGCAGATTATTCCCAATAGGTAAAACTGATCGATGTGATTTACACTGGCCGGCGCGTTCTCCAAACTTAACGCCTTGTGACTTTTTCCTACGGGGCATAGTTTAACGTAACAAACCACGGGATCTCAGTCAACTGACACTTGAGTCTTTTTAAACTAGGAATCAAGATTTCCAATATCAATTATGAATTTGCTTATGCAACTAAAACTCAAATAAAACTGGACACTAACCTCACCTGAACACACACTATTAAAACTTGAACTACCTGCAAATATACGTTGCACTAAACAATCACAACTGCATTCACTATTAAGTAAAGGTACGATTGTTTACGCTTAAACCAATATATTAAAAAATAGAACGCACTTTAAACGGGTACCTTCTCCTTGAAAGGTACCACATAAGGAGACACTGAGATGTGTACACTGTAAAGATAACGTCCTTATTGTCAACGATAAGCCGCAATTGTTAGTGGAACAATGAAGTCAAATTTTATAAATCAAAATAAGTTACTATAAAATAGACTTTAATTGCCTTGAAGATAACGCGAGCAGGTAGTGAAATGATAAGGATTAAAATTTACGTCAATTGAGAATTTTTTGCTTAGGAATTTAAGGATGTTTTTCTGTGTGGAAGTTAAAAAAGGTCTGTTCTCACAAGAGTCTCTATCAGTCAGAAACAATGGCTCAGCTAAGTTACCGATTTTTCTTGGAACGAAGGCATTGAAAACATGTATGGTTGATGATTTCGGACAGTTTACAAGCTGTCAAAGACTCTTGAGAGCAGGGGCGCCGGGTTTCAGAAAACCTTGTGGGTGATAATGTTCATGCACCGGCATTTATGAGGGGGGGGGGGGTGAACAGCCCGCCGGTGTCAAAAAGACTTCTCCAGAAGCCACGCCCAAAAACGTTTACCAGCATTCTTAAATTTACATTCGGACGAGTATCTAAGAAGGGAATGGTAATACATTTCAAACAACGTAGTTCACACCTTTCCATATTCGTTTTCCAGCTGCGGGAACTAGTGTTGCTTGGTGCTTGCGTAAGTTTTTTGCGGTGTCTGCTAAAATGGAAAAAAAAGGACGGCTATAAGGGTAAAGAGTAGAGTGTTTTCACAGCTATCAGAACAATACCCACTTCTACCACGGAAAAGCCTCCCTCCAGCATAGCCATCATAGCCCTCCCCTCCATTAATCTATTTTCAAAAGGCGCCGCCGATCTAAAGATTTTTCCACGGTATCGAAAAACTTCCTAGGCTCAAGTGCCCCCAGCTATCAGACTAGCAGATTCACAAGCAAAATATTTATTATTGCAATAAAATTAATGCATCTGTTTATGACCAATAACCACCTTGAAGCTATCAGAGCAATACCCACCTCCACTACGTCAAAAAGCTTCTACTTTGAAGAGGTACCTCTTTCCATATCTCTTCACTTTCTTGAAAACTAAAGAATATTTCAACAATTCCTGCATTTGTATTCGTCAATAGTGTTCTAAACTCCATGAGATTAATTTTATTGCAATAATAACATTTTGCTTGTGAATCTGGTGGACCACTTACGTAGTAGAGGTGGGTATTGGTCTGATAGCCGGGGGCAGTTTTTCGATACCGTGGGAAAATCTCTAGATCGGCGGCGCTTTTGATCTGAAATTTTGGGGATTTGACCCGGGCCAACCCCAAAATTGACGAATTCGAATACAAATGGAAGAATTGGTTAAATATTCTTTAGTTTTCAAGAAAGTGAAGGGCTATAATAAAGTGCCATCTCAGGGTAAGAGCCTTTTGAAAATAGATTAATGGATGGCTTTACGGAAGAGGGTTTACAGTGCAGGTGGGTAAAAAGTGCCTCCTCAGGGTAGGAGCTTCACGGAAGGGGGTACAGTGGAAGTGGGTAGGGGTATGATGGCTGTGCTGGAAGGGGGCTTTTACGTGGTAGAGGTGGGTATTGGTCTGATAGCTGTGAAAACACTCTACTGTAAAGTGTGGAAAACTCTCCTGCAGATATTCTTTTCCAAGCAGCATGTACCAAAAATCTGCGTTTTACGCTGTTCTCCATAAAAGATTTCTGATTTTCTTCATTTGCTTCTTCTTCTAAACAAAGTACCACCATGTTCTGATATCAACTGCCAGTACTGGATTTACTGTGCTGATTTTACTGTCATTTGCCGTTCCAATTTCAACAGGGTACTCTTGTGGTCATTCAGTACTGAATCGACTGAATCCAGTGTACTGAAAATAATATCGAAACGGCGTCCAGTAAATTCAGTACTGACAGAGTTGATATCGGAACATAACCTATATAAGGCTATGGTCGAAATATAACCAAACGTTAACCATTAGCTCTGTTCCAACAGACATGAGAACCGTTCCAGAATCAATAATTTCCAGTTGCCCACCTATTTTTCAATAAGTTGAACGTTTTTCCTAATTGACAAATGGATTGATCGACTGGAAATTACCGTTCTAGAAAGGTTTTCATGTCTGCTGTAACAGAGCTAAAGTAACCGAATCGGTCAACAGATGTTTACTGAAAATTCCGGTTACTTTGGGAAACGCAAATATGGAAATAAAACATAATTGACAGAAGCTACAGATAAAACCTTGATAAAACCAACAGAACCGACATCCGATGGCCGGTAACTATCTTGACATTTGGTTCTCCAGATTTCAGGAACCCGAGGTACAAAATTAACCAGTTTTCCAGGAACTAGAGAGGATTATCAGTTTTTAAGTCTATGCTCGTGGGTGCTCGAGCCCCCGAGCACCCACGTAGTCGGCGCCCCTGCTTGTGAGAACAAATTTAAAGTCATCATCTCAGTACTAAAATAGCTATCTACCTTTTGACTTGGATTTATTGATCAAGAAGTAAGTTATTGATTAACAAAACGGAGAATAATCAGAAAGAAATATCATCCAAAGATATACCTAGCATCCGAAAAACTGTGAAGAGCTTTCATTGAAAGCTCTACAACTTATCAAGACACAGAGGGCCCCAATAATAAATTGCTAGGCCTAAAGAACTAAAGCCCATTGATAATAGAGAAGGCGTTGAAAAAACTCAGAAAAGCTATTAAGAATGAGCAGCAAGCGACTCAAGCTGCAAACCAAGATCCCAACAAACCTGTTGATCCAGAATTTTGACCTCTACCAGCTAATCAATGTACAAATAGCTGTGGAAGTTGTCAATATCAACAACAATTCTTCAATCTTTACATGCAAAATTCATTTTTACCTGGATGTTTAAAATCGTACTTCACCGGATCAAGATTCTTCTCTTCGCACACCTTCTTCATAATATCTTCTAGTAACACGTGTCTGCTAACACGTGTCACATACAATTGGTTCCTTGGAAGATGCACCTTCAACCTAAAAGTACTTTCAAAAGGTTGGTGTCCTGGAGCAGGGTATTTCAAAGCCGGAAGGGTTCTACCTTTCAACAGAACCTATACAAAAATTTCATCAAATCATTACACAATTATATTAATAATTGGTGGTTACCCTAATGTGTTGCGTGTCCAAGGTTCCTATAGGGGTATTCGGTTTGAAAGGTAGGATTTTGTCGTTGTGTTCTGACGATGGGGCCATGCCTAGTACTTGGAGGGTGTGAGTGGAAAGCTGGAGCTGATTGGCTGTGGTGATTTGTACTAGAAGATCCATCATTGGTGTACTAGAATGAAAAAAATAGTTGTAGTCTATCTATAAAGGCTGAACAGCAGCTTGAATTGTTTCGCCGACGTGTTAATTTTATCCATTATGAGTGTAGTTATAATAAAGTATGTAGGTACTTCATTATATTAATAGGTACTTTCTGCAATAATAAACAATCTAAAAAACAGTTCTGCCTGCTATACCTATACACAGGATATTTATTTATAATAAAATTGTTAAATAAATTATTGTTGACCTTCATGTTTAACACCTCATAACACATCAGAGAGCTGCAAATTAAATTTAACTTAGGAAAAATTTTACTTCTATAATAATTTATTTCCTGAAGCACGTACCTATAGATTGTGCCGTAATGTGAAGCCTCTAAAGTTCATCCTAAACTTAATTACCGACATTTAATTATTGGCGTCATTTAGTGGTTTATTAACATATTTATAATGAAAACAACTATGTATGGTAGCTAAGATTTTTAGTGGATGTCCTTGCAATGTCCAGATATTATCAATATTAATAATAATTTATTGTAGTGAAAGTAGTGAAATTGTATAAGAAAGATAACATTCCCATAACAGCTTGGAAACGGGCAATATCTGAAATAATTACTTACCTTCTCTCCACAGGCATTTTCACAGCTTTTCCATTAGGTAAGTGTACGGTTAGATCCATGGCCCCAGCTAACATGTCGGGCGGAGTATCTTCAGTTATTTGAATCATCGTCAAGGTTCCTCTACGTCCTCTGCAAAAAAAAAAAAACAAAAACATTCTTAGAATTCATAAATTTTCCTTTAGAAATCCAAATGACATAAATATTATTATAATCTATAGAGTTGTTTATTGTTTGCCAGCTGTTGTCATAATTCCTAAATAAATTCTGCAATCATAGATTTTTTAATTTGATTGCATCAGGTAATTGCCTGATATCATCATCGCTTTGGTATTTTTCATCATGATGTTTTCCATATTTTATTCGAAATCATCAAAGAATGGTGTCTATAAACTTCAAAGAGGAAAATGTGTAGGTACCTCTGTTCATAGTAGAAAAACACAGCAGTCTCATAGGAAAATGACCTAAGCATGATCACATGCTGAATCAAATTTCTTTTCCAACTCAAGCAATATTAAGTGATAGAATAATCTTGTTTCCTATTGAATTTAGGTACAAGTTATTTACATTATAAGGTTCGAATAAAAACACTGGCAAAAAAATTATACACAACAAAAAAAAAAGTTTACAAAAACGATAAAGGGATCGGGTAAAATGTTTACGTAAACTAGTCATATAGTTTCGTTCATTTGATGTGCCTTTAAAATACGGAAAGTTTTGATTCAATTCGTCATTTTTTTATAAAAGTTATTTTTGGAAAAGTAGTTTCATGGAGAATTTTGCTTATCTGCTTTGTCCATTATTTGTAAGTAGATATCCATATACATGTACATACACTATACACACCGTACAAAAATTATCGCATCACCAATGCTTTAAAATATTTTGGCTACAGTAAATTTATTTTAAAAATTTCTTAAGTATTCCCTGAATGGGCATTCTTTAACTAAAAAACTTGAGTCAAAAAACATGTCGTTTCTTCTTCTGTTAGGTTCTTATTTACTTTTTTCGGGAAAATGCAGATAGGCATACATTCCACTTTGCAATTATGCTGTTCATTTCTGTGTTTTCTGCTTTGATAGATGCGATAATTTTTGTGCGGTGTATATTTAGCCTTTCCTTTTTTACATTATTTTGATTACAAACAATATCCATATGAGGAAATGCGGAAGTATCATACCATTTTAGACTAAACGAGGTCTATTATATTCTCCAATTAAACCAAACCAATTTTTTTTTTTGTTTAGTCATTTGAAGCATAAGAAATTCAATTATATATGGTCAAATTAACCTAATATTAGTTTATAATTAACAAATTAATTAACGGAAATAGGGTTTGACTTTTTGCTATAATAAATCGGCTGTCAAAAAGTGAAAGAATAAGTTAAATGTTGATGCAAGAAACCCATTGACAAGTCTTCATATTTCATTTACAATCACGCACCGTTGGGTTCAGTTTATGGTTGCATAACCCGAAAAAATACAATGGTATAGAGGATATTCATTAGATTATTTTAATTGTATGAATTTTGCATTTGCATGCAAACGAATTTACCAAGAATCTGTGTGTTTGAGGTCGAAAATTATTCGGTTATTGGTACTAGAAATTCGAAATTATTATGGTAATCGAAACAAATAAAAATCGACGTCATTCGTGCGAAAGTGCTAATAAATATCACATTTTACACGAATATTCAAATAAGGTTTTCACACTTTCGTGCCAAAATAAGACAGGATTTAATTCGCTTTAATTTGAGCTTAATAAGGTTAAGTTCAGATTGAAATTAACAAAGTTGTAGATGTTATTTTGAAACTATTAACCTGAAAATATTTTCCAATTCAGATTGCCAATATTTCCAATAAAATTCGAACAAATCAAAATAAATTATGCACTCTTGGAAAGAGCATTAAATTCTCTATAAATCTGTGTTAAATTGAGTGTGATAGCTCAAATACTTATTGAGCAGTTGAGCATGAAAGTTGAATTTTAGTTGGTTCAGACAAAGTTGGTTGACGAATAATTGAATATTTCTTGAAAATCTCCAAGAAAATAAGTGTTCCACATTCAATATCCCTTTATGTTCATGCAAGTCGCATTTAGCATTGCCTTGATACAAATTATGTTTTATAATAACACTTTGCATTACTCATAAATGTGTAATTATCCTTAATTACTAATATGGATTCCTATAAAGCCTACTCGGTTAAGTAAAAGGTAGGTTGAAAGACCAAAGTTCTCATTTCTCAATAAATTAACTTGACAACTAATTACGAAGTAGTTTATATTGTTTATGTGAAGATTTATTTTACAAAATGACTGAGAAAAATTATTTACATAAATAATGTAAGTACGCCTGAAGCTTTATTAAAAAGACGCAATTCGCTATGTAATCTCGTGACATTTTCAAGCTTTATTTAAAATTCACTTGGCAAAATCGAATAGAGTGTTGAATCAATTTAAAACTTTGTAGCCATTCACAATGATTTCCTGTGTCGGTGCAAAATATACGTGAGCTGATTCCTATATAATAGGATATACTCAGTTCACTGTTACTTTTAAATTAAACGAATATTGCTAGGTATAGTAAAAGTTCATTAATAATAACTGAATATGTATTGACCACTTTCCTATTAAACTCTGAGACAATAAATTCAATAATAATAAATTAATGGATAATTAAATATCGACATTCTATCGATTTGTTTGAGCGTATCGGAACTGAAACCTACTTTTACTTTAAAACGAATCACAACCTTAACCTGGATTTTGTTTATATTCATATATGCAATTGATAAACAAAAGGAGCGAATTATTGTTAATTAATATTTATGGTTAATTTGTGAAGAATTATCTCAAATAGGTCTCATTTGTATTCTGCTTAAAACGGTTTTCTACTCCAAAAGTAAAAACATCAGCTTGCAAAAGGCACTTTGCAGTGGATTTAATTTTCAAATTGAATCAGCTTGAAAGGAACCAGTGCACAAGTAAATTTTATTTTCTATTTCTTACCTTTAAGGTTTGCAAGAGAGTGTGTCCCATTTAAAAAAGTTCAAATTTGGACTATATCTCACAAAATAATACCCCTAAAGAAAATCCGAATACGCCACTGGGTTCTACGTGAAAAATCACACAAAAACGTAATTTAACATTTTTTAAAATTTTTGCAGGTACCTAAGTCCCTGATCTATTTTAATTTGAAGATATGGGATAAGATCTAACACAGCTGTCTCTGTGTCTCTGCCTCTGCAGAAGCCATATTGACCCTTATACAAAAACCTCGACAAAAACTCGACACTGTCCACCGTGATACCGTCCACTCCACAAGCCTTGCTTTTGTCCATTAAACTGATAATGCTCTCTACTTCAATAGCTGTGACTGGTGAAAAAAATAATGAGTCTTTAATACTGTCTTATTGTTAGCATGTTTTTTGTTGTGTATTATTCTATTCACTGGTCCTCCACGTTTTCCTATCATCCCCAAGACTTCTTCCGAAAATTTCTTCAGAATGGTCGTACAATGCAACTGGAATGGTGAACTGGTGTAGATTCTGGGTTAGCTTCAAAAGTTACTTCTGTGCCTCTGGATAGTCTATGTTCTGGGACACCTTATACTTTTTTTCTGCAACAATTATCGTTGGCACTGTCTCATTCGAAATATGGTAGTCATATGTCCTATACATATATCTCCTTGTAGCTATGCATAACATTGCCATTTTTCAAGAGATGCCTACACCCCCATTGTGTTTGTTTCTACTAATATAGCAGGCATTGTAATTCGGTATGTTAACAAATTTTTCTTCTCCTGGTCTTAACCATATGTCTCGCTCACAATTATAATATGAATTTTCACCTTTAAGCTCTTCAAGACTAATTCTATCTGATCTGCCATGTTCCTAATGGACTTTGCATTCATGTACAATACATTAAATCTATAACAGTCTTTATCAACTTCTTATCTGCAATTTCAGTTTTGCAATATAATTATATGCCAAAACTTTACAATAATTATTTCAAGTTCAATCCCCAGATTGTTCCAAAGAATGTTCAGTTAATTAAAAATTCTTTGCTTTCTTAACAAAAATATAGTATTAGGCAAACATTATTATAGAATGGTGGGTTAATTTACAAAATAAAGCAATAATAAAAGAAAAAAACTATAACAATCGTGCGTTCTTTAGATTCTGCAATAGTTATACGTAATTATACGAGTTGAAAAAACTAATGAGAACGTAACCGCAGAAGAAGAGAATCTTTCGGTTTTACGAAACGATCCTGGGTTGCAATAAAAATATCGGTTTGCGGATTCCAATTTGGAATTGCGATACTTTTTGCAAATTTATTCACAAAATTATCTTGTAGAAAAATCGCCAATTACGCAAAAATTATAAACCACACAACAAGCAATTTCCTATCATAATTACCCTTTATATTGTATTGTTGTTGTTCAAACATAAAGCTCGTATATAACGATAAAACGTGAAAAATATTTAGTTTGTTCAAACAAAATAATTGGCTAGATAGGCGTTTATAAATAGTTTATTATACCTAGGTATGTACATTTACCAAAGCCTAAATATAATTTTATAAAGTAAATTTGTTTTGTTTTTAATTGTAGTTTTATAATGTGATAACTTCACATTGTAATATTTAATTATTTCATTATCGATGTGCTTTAAAAGATTAAACATAATGGTACATTGATTAACTTGATCATTTTTTGATATAGGTGAGCCAAAATTGCAATAATTTCTGAACAATACAAAATTTATTATTATGACTCATCGAAATGTAATTATTCGGAATTGAAATTTCATGTAAAATGTCTAATAAAATCAACAATTGCATTTCTGGGTGCAAAAATGCATCAAATTGCCGATCAGAAACAATGGGTTGTAACGTTTCAAGGTGACTTCGACAGCCTTAAAATTAAACATAATTATTTATTATTTTGTACGAAATGGAAAAAATTTATAAACGAAAAAACTTGCAACCATTATTGTGTGATTAGAGTGCAATTTGTATTGTAATGGTTTTTAGTGGATTTTTATGAAAATTGTACAACATTCTTCTAGAAAGGTCAATAGTTTATGAATAATCTACAAAATTTGTTGGTTTGAAGTAAAATGCAAAA